ATACTATCTATAAATAGATAGCTAAACTAAAAGAATAAACTAGATAGTAGAATAGTTTCTTAGGTGTTACCTAAACTACTAATAAAATAACTAGGTAGGGTTGCTCCCTATAGCATAGTTAGCCTATAATAGCTTATAATATAGTACTACTAGAGTCTTACTATTCTTTATAAACTATAGATTTAACCTAGTAGCTTATTAAGTGCTTAGGATAATAAGATCTTAGAGCGTAGATAGAGAAAATTAGGTAAAGGAAATTATGTAAATCTATACCTAACTCTAGTAAGATGCTATATTCCTATAAGGAAAGATAGGAAAATACTATAATCTTAAGTATAAGCCTACGCCTACGCTAGAGAAGGGAGAGAAAGTCTAGCTACTATAAAAAAATATTACTAGTAAATAACTATTAAATAAACTAGACTATCTAAAAATTAGACTATATAAAGTCCTTAAGTAGATTACTCTAGTTTTATTTAAACTACGCCTCCTAAATAATATAAAAATACACCTAGTATTCTACGTAGCCTTATTAGAAAAAGCACTATAAGACGTAGAACCTATAGTTTATAAAGTAGATATATATAGAGAATAGTAAGAAGAATAGGAAGTAGTAAGTATTAATAGATACTAACTAGTAAATAGTTAGAACTACTATAAGGTTAAGTAGCTAGGACGTAATAAAAAGGGAAACCTATAGGATAATACCTAGAAACTAGAAAGTAATCTTAACTACCCTAAGAAGTTAGAAGAATTTTAGTTAAACTAATCTCTTAAAGAAAGCCTAGAGATAATAGACTAAGAGTTAGACTACCTTATAGTAAATTATAAAGAATACTACTATTAGAGAAGGTATAAGTAGTATCTTAAGAGACTACTTTACCCTCCTTAGGACTATTCTATAGACTAGTAGCTTTTAGTTCTACTTTTTTCTAATCTAGTTTAGCCTCTAGGAATATTAACTAATAATCCTTCTACTTATTAAGAAGCTCCTTCTATTTCTATAACTATAATACCTTTGCCTAAGTAGTAGTAAGGGCATCTAGAATTTCTTCTTAGGCCTTTTTAGCCTTAATAAGTTTAGCTTAAATTTTAGCTTAGGAATGACTAGTGTTATACACTATAAATAATTAATATAAATAGGATAATAGTAGTAGATAATATACTCTTAGCTACTAAAATACTATTAATATTATAAGAACTATAAATATTTAAATAGATATAAGCTTTATAAGTAGGACGCCTAGGCGTATTACGTAGAGAAAGCTTATATAAGATTTTTAACTAGTTATAGTAAGAGTAAGGCATAGTAAGGAATCTATAATAACTAATTTTATTAGTAAGTATAAGTTATTTATTAGTTTTATAAGAAGGTATAGAGGGCAATAATAACCTAACTTATAATAGGGCTTATCCTACTAATATAGTACTACCCCTATAATAGATTAATCTTTGGGCTAAAGACTTAGAAGGGGGAGATAGTATTATAGCTACTATACTATAATAGAATTATAGGAATTATATTAATAATAGTAGTGACTAATTAGATTATATAGGAGAAGAATATAATTATAGGTTAGATACTAAGCATAATATAGGCACGTAAGGAAGTTACGTAATTAGATCTATAGATCTATAGGATAGAGCTATAGAGCCTAGATCTATAGGATCTATAAATAGAGCCTACAGAGCCATTATTAGATAGTAGTATATAGAGATAATAGATTACTATAGGGTAAGCCTTTATTATTAATCTATAATATAGTTCTCTATATCTAGTTTCCTTATAGAAGATTACTATTAAGTCTTTAGTAACATATTCTTATAGTAGTAATTAATTAATATTTATACTATATATAATCTATACTACCCTACACGCTACTTATCTCTTACTAGAACCCTAATAGGGCCACGGCTAGTAATAGAGTCCTAGAGGTCCCGTTATAATATTAAATTAATATATATAATAGTTCCTATCTTAACACTTATTTTTATCTAACCTATAGTATTCCCTATCTCCTAGGTTTTCTTATACCTAGTCTCTTTTATTCTAGTAGTAGGAATAATCTATTATATAGTATTACTAGAACTTTTTCTATATATATATATTAATTATCTTAAGTTACTAGGTAGGGTTTAGTAACTTCCCTTAATAGGTTACTACCTATTTATATATTTAGTATATATCTAGTCCTATAATTTTTATTTTTTTATAGTATTACCTAGCCTAGTGCTTAAGTTCCCTATAGACCTAGTATTATTACTTAGTTACCCTATATACTACTATACCTCCCTTAGTAACTTAGTAGCTATTTTTATCTAGATACCCTTTAGAATTAGTTAGTTAGGTTTTCTAAGATTTCTCCTTAGAATCTAGTATTATAGTATTATTAGAAACTTTACCTAATTCTAGTATTTTAGGTTATAGCGTTACTATAACTATTCTAATTATATTAGCTCTTTTACCTTACTTCTTATAGTTAGGGTAATTAGTTTTAAAATACCCTTACTTTCTATAGCCTAGGTAAGCCCTATTCTTAAAGTATTATTAGTAGACCTTATTCTACTTTCTTTACTATAGGGTATATTCCTTCTTAGTTTATACTTTATCCTCTATAATTATATTACTATCTTTATTCTATTTATCCCTATAGTTATACCTCTTTTAAGTATTAGCTCTCTAGTAGTATATAGGCTTAGTTACCTCCTACTTTTCCTAGTTTTACTTATATAGGCGGTTATCTATATATATAGCTAATTCTATTAGTACTCCTAGATTATTAGGTTCTATATAATATATAAGGCTATTCTTTACTAATTCTTTTAGGCTATTATAAAATACTAATTAGAGTAGTATATTATCCTAGTCTATCTTAGCTTAAAGTTACTTAAATATTAAGGTATACTTACCTACTAATATAGTCTATTTTAGCCTTTAGATTTATTACTTAGCCTACTTTACCTTATTAACTTTACTAAATATAATAGTTATCTATTCTTAGAATAACTTCTAATTCTTAAAGACTAGTTTAGTATCCTTCTAATACTCCTTAATATTATCCTTATTTTCTATATAGTTATCTACTAGGGGTTATATCTATCTAGTAGCCTAGTCTACTATATATATTTCTATAGCTAATATTTAGTCTTATTCCTTAACTATAGTAGTCTTATAAGAGTAGTTATATAGCTCTATATTAGTAAGAAATAGTTTTAACTTTTCTTATTCTCTATTAAAGAGCTCTAGGACTTTAAATATTCCTTTAGTTAGGGTAGTAACTTGTTACGAACCAGATAACGGTGGGGAAGTTCAGGCGCTTATAAAGGTAGAAGATGCAACAACCAGGGTTATAATAAGATAAAGATATACTAAGTTACTTAGATAGTAGTTATATAACTTACTTAGCTACTTAGGGTTCCTAAATAACTAAGTAGCTAAGAGCTATTATATAACCTACTTAGTTATTTAGGGCTCCTAAGCAACTAAGTAAGATTCCTATATAGAAATATAAGGATAAACCTTTATACTCATATTTAACCTAAGTTTTAATCTATTATTTAGATTTACTTAGGCCTTCCTTATTAACTTATTATACTTTATAAGATACTTCTATATTAATAAGAACCCCTTCTTCCTCCCCTTAGTAAGTCTTACCCAAGAACTAACCCTAACCTATTTAGGACTAGCTACCCTTTTTAGATTTAACATAACTATTACCTATTTCTAGAATTATCTTATTAATTATACTAGTTACTCTTAGAGTTATTAAATCTAATTAGCCTAGTTAGCTATAACTATAGCTACACTAGTTATAGGCCTAGAGGTAGAGCTTCTAGTTACTACTCTTAATACTTATAAGCTAGTTAGTATTACTATTACGTCTTATACCTTTAGGTAGTTAAAGTATTATAAGGTGTTTCTATATACCTAGCCTAGGCTAGCCTTATAGGTATTTAGTAGATAAGGGTAAATAAATAATAAAGGGGAGTAAGAGAATATTCTAACCTTACTATAGTAGGTAAGGTAATAATTATATAAGAAAACTAATAGATTTTAGTATAGAAGATATACTTTAATTTTAACTATAGAATTTAACTATAAAGAGTAGGAAATACTTAGAAACTATTCTAGACTATATACTACTCTTTTTAGTTCTTATAATCTCTTACTAACCTTTATTCCTAGAGAGTATAGTCCTAATCTAGGAGTAGTTTCTTTACTTTTACTAAATCCCCCTACTCCTAGGATCCTATTATTTTAGTAGGATTATAATTATATACTTACTAACCTAATCCTTATAGTTTCTTAGTATCTAGTAATATATTAGTCCCTAGCCTTATTAGCTCTACCCTACTAGGTGTCTTTATCTATCTACTATTCTTCTATAGAATTATAATAGATAGCTTACTATTCTTTATACCTTAAAATAGGCTAATAAATACTAGGCCCTATCTTCTAGGGCTAGTTAGTACCTAAATAGGGCATTTAATGCTTATACACCGTAAGTCCTAATAAAAAAGAGTAACTAGTAAGTTATAGAGTAAATAAAACGCTAGCCCTATATACTAGATATAATAACTAAATAATACTTATTTTCCCTAAAGCCTATATATAGTATAGGTTTTACATAGCTTACTTAGCTACTAAGCTAGTACCTCTAGGGCCCTAGCTTAAAAGAGATGTAACACTATACTAAGGATTATAATCTACCCGTTACATTATCCTGCGATCACTTAAGCTAAGCTTAGTTATCTTAGAGACCTATGCTCATACTTCAATAACATATTAGACATAAAAACGCATGACAATGCAAAAACTGGTATTTGGTTGTCCAACTTTACTCATACACCATGTGGATACCGATACAACCGGCCCCGCGGCGCATTGATCCGGACCAACAGACCTAGACTCATATACAGCCGTCCTCACCTAACAATGCACAAGGTTATGTAAGAGAGCACAACAGAGGTAAAAGAAATGAGATGAAACAAAAAGCTATCTAACCAAGCAACATCTTCCGCGGGTCCTCGATGAATTCCTTGATCTTGACAAGGAAGGTAACGGCCTCCCTACCATCGAGTAGACGGTGATCGTAGGTAAGGGCGAGGTACATCATCTGACGTCATGTTAGCTTGGAGAGCATAGATCAGCAAAGGGCAGATTGACTTACCGGGCGGATTTCCACCTTGCCATTGATGGCGACAGGCTTGTCCTTGATCGCGTGCAGGCCGAGCACAGCAGTCTGGGGCAAGTTGATAATCGGTGTACCCATCAAGCTACCGAAAACGCCGCCGTTGCTGATGGTGAAGGTACCTCCAGCCATATCCTCGATGGTAAGCTTGTTGTCCCTGGCCTTCTTACCGAGGTCGGCAATCGCCTTCTCGATGCCAACCATATCCAGCGACTCGGCGTTGCGGACGACAGGTGTGACCAAGCCCTTTTCAGTAGCGACAGCCACGGAAATGTCTACGTAATCGCGGTAAACGATCGTGTCACCGCCGTTAGGGCCTTCGATCGAAGCATTGACAGCCGGAACCTCCTTCATGGCGAGAATGCAGGCACGCGAGAAGGCGGACATGAAGCCGAGCTTCGCGCCCTGCTTTTTGAGGATCTCATCCTTGTAGAGCTTGCGGAACTCCATTATAGAAGACATATCGACCTCGTTGAAGGTGGTGAGGGAGGCAGCTGTGTTCTGCGACTGTTTCAAGCGCTCGGCAATGCGGAGACGCATACGATTCATCTTCACGCGACGCTCTTCACGAGCACCCGGCGCAGCTTGCTTGGGCTCGGACTCACTCGACCTCTGCTCCTTGGGCGAGGACGGCTTCTGGGTGGGCGCAGGCTTGGACTCCTGCTTTGGTGGCTCAGGCTTTGATTCCTCCTTCTTGGGCTCAGGCTTCTCCTTGTTGGGCTGCTCTTGCTGGCCCTGGGGCTGAGACGAAGTCTCCTGCTCCTTCGGCGCAGGCTCCTTGGGCTCGTCCTTTGCCTCCTGCTTTGCACTGCCCGAAGGCGCGCCGCCTAGCTCGAGCTTCACAAGGTCCTGCCCAACCTCGACAGTGTCCTCCTCGTTTACGAGAAACTCCTTGATGGTACCGGCCTCGGGGGCGTTGACAGATACATCGATCTAGACTTGGTTAACCCATGATCCTCGGTCCTTGTGTCGACATAGCGTACTTTATCCGTCTCGATGGTTGCAATCTCTTCATCCTGTTCGACATAGTCGCCGATCTCTAGTGGATGTTATTATGTGGTTGTTCTAAAGTCTGCGCAGAACTCACGTTTTGACCATTGCTTCAAGGTTCCCTCTGTGATGGACTCGGCCATTTGTGGCACCTTGACCACGGTAGTGTCAGCTGTGCGAGCATTAGCTATGTTCGTGTGCATATTCCATATCATCCCATGGATATGCGCACCATAACTTCGCGACTGCGAGAAGAGAGCAACGCGTTGTGTTGAGGATCGGCCGGGTCGTCTAAACATGTTAGCATATGCTCTACGATGCCAATGGCTGCGCCAACCTTGAGGCCTGGCTGAGCAGACCGGACGAAGTCGCTCGCGAGATAACGGAGTAGCTGCGTGTCGTGGGGGACGCGGACAGGCGGATGGCTCTTGAGCAAACGCGCAGCAGCGGCTGCGATCTTAGCGGCGATGAAGCTGCCAAACGGCGAAGACACTGTTGGCCAGACATTGTGCAGCGATGACCGGCGAGAATCCTAACGAGGGGAAATGGGATGCGATGGGAGGAGGAAAAGGATGGCGGGAAAAAGCCGGGCGGGAGTTGATAGAGTTCGACGAACTGGCCTTGATGCAGAGCCTCTGCCATAGCTCAGCCGGAACCGCGCTAGTCGACAAGGGCTCTTCCGTGCCGAGCTCTCCAGCAGCCAACGTCGAGCGGAGCCATCCTCACGTACAGCATCACCACCAGCCATTGCGACCGCCAAAGCAGGGCATTTTACACGCAACTACACATCCAGACTGCCATCGAGGCGCCCGCGGCCGCCATGAGCTCTAGGACCACCGTTCTGTGCGTCCCTGCCTGCCGCCGCCGCCGGGCGACAGAACGCATCCCGCGACAACAGCACCGCTAACAGCACGCAGGAGGCTCTATCGCCGTTCGCTCAAGCTGGCTCTCGACTGGGCCGTTCACAGGTACCTCTGGCGGGGCCAGGCAATGTACATCCGCTCGCTGTTCGAAGCCAACAAGAACGTCACCGAGCCGCGCCGACAGAGGGTACGATCCGTATGGCAATGCTCGCAAGGCAGCATCGCTGACACGCGCGCAGGACTTGATCAAGGAGACAGAGAATCTCCTCGAGAAGTGGAAGCATCCGGACCCGTACCGCCCGCCCACGGCGCCTGGGGGTGAGTTGTCGGCGACACTTTCCGAACGGCCGCGGACCCGGCTAACACACACAGGCTCCAAGTACGAGCGCAACCTGCCCGCGCCCATTCTGGACCGTAAGTATTCCGACCCTTAACGACGACTGCTGCTAATGAGAAACAGCTCCTCCCAAGATGACGTTGTAGCGGATCGAAGGGGCTTTGATGGCGGCTTGTACATTATACCAAGGCACAAGGAGACCAATAGACTGAGAAACCAGCAATCCAAAATGTCAAAATCCCATCCATGTTCGCATAGCACAGTGTCAAATCAACTTTCAATTCCACCCAAATGACGCGTAGCCGATTTCTCGTCAGTTTCATGACTGCAATTTGCGCCTCCACTACGAGATTTCGAAAATGCGAAATGCGCATATCGCGAGATATGAAAATCAGAATGCTGCCGCGAGGAAACGAATTCGTAGGTAGCCATCTCGACGCTGCTGCTCCTGAGAGGACGGAGCTGAGACCAACCATTCTCGACCTACCAGAATCCTATGGTCTGAAACGCCACGACCCCCGCAACGCAACGTTGCGCCGGTATGCAATCATGTCGAAGAGTCGCCAATATAGGTGAACTGTTAGATGCTCAGTAGTAAAGACATGGATATCACAAAGCAAAAGACGAAAAAGTGAAGTAATCCCTTTAATTGAAGCTCATGAGCCACCACCCATCAATGTGGGAATAATGTACAGCTCTGGTATTTAAACCCCGTGATGAAAAGCCGTGAACCGAGACCCAGACCAAACCCCATTATCATGAAAAACACCGAACCGCGCCAAAGAAAACAATCGCTTAGAGCTCCTGTGAAGGACCCTTGCCAGGCTTGGCCGTCTTCTTGGGGAGCAGGTCTGGAAGAAGTCAGCCAATGCATCGTGGACGAAGCGCGGAAAGACTTACTCTGGTGAATGTTGGGAAGAACACCACCCTGGGCGATGGTGACGTGGCCGAGAAGCTTGTTCAATTCCTCATCGTTGCGGATGGCGAGCTGGAGATGACGGGGAATGATACGAGTCTTCTTGTTGTCGCGGGCAGCGTTGCCAGCCAACTCGAGGATTTCGGCAGCGAGGTACTCGAGAACGGCAGCGAGGTACACGGGGGCACCAGCACCGACGCGCTGAGCGTAGTTGCCCTTGCGCAGGAGACGGTGAACACGACCGACAGGGAACGCGAGACCGGCCTTGGAAGAACGGCTGAAGCAGAGTTAGCTGGATGCGAAAGACGAGATGTGAAAGGCCAAGGTGAAAGACGCGTCAAATCAAGACAGAACGCGTCTGAAGACCGAAGCCAAAAAGAGAGCAAAGGCGGATCGCGATGGATCGCGATGCACAAGCGCGCTGGGAGACTTACGACTGGGCGCTGGACTTGGAGCCGCTGGCCTTGCCTCCGGATTTGCCGCCAGTCATTGTGATGGAGTTGTGATGAACGGGTAGAACTGGAAAGTTGCTGAGGTGCTTTCGCGGAGATGGGTGCGTGGAGTGGCGTGGGTGGTGAGTGTCGAGACGATGGATGGAGAGACGACGTCGGGGCGGCGGGCAGCTTATAAGGACGGCGCGGCGTGTTGTGGTGCGCGAGATCAACCTGGGTCGCTAGCGCGAGTCGCGGCCGCCCACCAAGATCACTGGCGCTGCGGGCGCTCCTCTGTCGCTGTCGCTTGTTCGCTTGCGTCGCCCAGCACTGCAGCGACGACGCACGGACCCCGCAGGCGCCGCTGGATCACAACACGCGGCGCGCTCCCCATAAGAAGCGCGTCCCCCCGCCGTCGACGACCTTTTCTCCTTCATCTCGACACTCGCACCCGCATCAACCCGCATCTCCCACCACACCAGCTTTTAATCCAGACACCACTTTTACCGCCACTCCACCACCCCCACGCCCAAAATGCCTCCCAAAGCTGCTGCTCAGAAGACGCCCACCACCGGTGGCAAGGCCCCGGCCGGCAAGGCTCCTGCCGAGAAGAAGGAGGCTGGCAAGAAGACCGCCGCTCCCTCTGGTGACAAGAAGAAGCGCACCAAGTCCAGGAAGGAGACCTACTCTTCCTACATCTACAAGGGTGAGTTCGCCGAGTGAACGCGACTTCTGCAGCGCGCAGCCCAGGGCGACAATCGCGTCTTTGCTTTGCGCGCAGCATCAATCGCGTGCCTTCCCCACCATCGAATGACTTCTGACGCGTCGCAGTCCTCAAGCAGGTCCACCCCGACACCGGTATCTCCAACCGTGCCATGTCCATCTTGAACTCCTTCGTCAACGACATCTTCGAGCGCGTCGCCACCGAGGCCTCCAAGCTCGCCGCCTACAACAAGAAGTCCACCATCTCATCACGCGAAATCCAGACCTCGTATGTCTTTCACGAGCCACATTTGTCATGCGCACATTACTAACAGGTCTGCAGCGTCCGACTGATCCTGCCTGGTGAGCTCGCCAAGCACGCCGTGTCCGAGGGCACCAAGGCTGTCACCAAGTACTCTTCCTCCACCAAATAAGCTCGTTTGGTTGGTTGCTGGGTTCTTTTCATGGGTTTCATCTCTTCGTTCAGTGTTTTGAATGAAGTCGGTTATGGGGTCGGTGTTCATGGGTCATTTTAATGCGATCATGGGACGGTTTGTTTGTCTCTCAGGCCGTAGATCTTATGGTCTGACTACGGGGTCCGATATCCAATGAGGGTGTATAGTATACCTCGGAATGAATCAATTCTTCCACTTCACCACCTGTCCTCGCACTCTCATCTTCCCCAGATCTTGTTGTCTATTTTCTGTCCATGTCCTGCCTGGGTCGACTTCTTGGTGATCACGATCCTGAAGGTCTCACTGTCGTTCCTCCAATCAAGTGCCAACAGTGCAGCGACGAGAACGTCTCGTTTCGTCACCAGCACTTTCAGCAGCCCTGGAGACGCGGAATCATGACCCGACAACTTGTATTGAGTGTTGGCGGTGATCAAAAGCATATAACCGGATCTACCACGATAGGCAGAAAAGCGTCCCACCACTTGATCGCAATGAAGGCCGTCAGTAAGCAGTTGACCGCGAACGTAATCAGCGTCATGCGTACATGTAGCTCAAACCACTGCACGTAATGACAACTTCTGCGTCATCACTCAATGTGAGCGAATAAACGCGGGGTCCAACGGTTCCGGGAGCAGCTACCTGGATGTTCTGTACAAGAGGTGGCAACAATTGGTTCAATGTCATGGGTATTATCAACGGAAATACATGCTACATGTGTGATGAAAGGGTGCAGAGCTTACGGATAATCTACCCAAACTCCAGACCTCAAATGCAATTACAATCCGAGCTATTAGACGCCGTATGATTTGCTCGAGGCATTTCTGCCCCGTAGCTATGACTAGACAAAGGTGGCATGTCCTACAACTTTGTAGTTTGACATCATGCTACCGCAGGGAATTCGTCACCCCTACTGCAAACCGTCTTCATCGAAGCTTTCCACCTCGTCCACTGCACCAGCCCTCTCTTGACCGCGTGGCGGTGGCTCGGCCTCGCTGATGTGAACGATAGCCTTGCCCTGTACGCTCACTACGCCTTCTTTCCACTCTTCGTATTCGTTTTCATCACGGATAAGGAATGCGATGAGCATCGACGGGTCCATCTCACGGATCTCGATACGACGAAGGCGGCGCGTGTGACAGTTGGCGATGTCTTCTGCGGAATAGGCGGAAGGATCTTTGTGGTAGGGTAGGAGAGGGCGCGTGACGTGTGGGTCGAGATAAAAGAAGTAGTTGCCTTGAGTTCCAACAAAGTAGTGCGATGCGGACGGGCGGCCGCTACATGGAGGTCAGCGTCATAAAGAGGAATAGAATGTGTGTGGCTCACCCAGCAATACCTATCGACTGCTTCATTTGCAATGACGCCTTCAATGCTTCCCAATACACGGGCGTGATCTTCTCGATGCCCAGCCGGGTGCCTACTAGTACTAGAGTCGGCTGCCACTTGCCGTCATCGTCGATAGCGACTTCTTTGAGTTTGTCCTCGTATATGTCAGCGCCGTCGCCGGAGTTATACACTTTCAGGCCTGCTTCAGGGTACTTCTTGACGAGGTCTTGTATGCATCGCGCTGTTGCTGACGGACCGAACCACTCGCCGGGATATTTGCCACATTCTGCTGCTCCGTGTTCCACAAAGCGGTGGATTGAAAAGGGTGCTTGTGGGTCGTCGGCGAATAGCGAGAGGATCGGGCGGTCGTCCTGCTTCGTCCGTGAATCTTGAAGCCTCCAGTCTACGATTATATCAGCTTGGGCTCTCACCGTAGTTCCAAAGTAATATGATACCTCGTCCTAATCGTAGGTCTATCAGAGCGTTCGCGAGTATGCACTGGCCAGACCTGATCATGCAGCCAAAGCCCGAATCCGACGTGAAGGCGCTTTGAGCCAAGTTCTGCATCCTGACCCTGAAGCTCATGGCTGCTGTCGCCTTGCGATCCAAGCTCTTTTGGATAGGTGAAAATCCCGACCGGTATGTCATCCACGCCCTCGATTCGAAGTCATCCAGAAAGGCGTGGGGCCAACCGCCGTACTGATCCGGATCTTCTCCACCATTTGGGGCCTCCTTGCCGCCAGACTCGTCTGCACTCGTGCGTATCCAACTGTCTTCCTCGGAAATGCCAGGTCGTTCATTTTGAGATGCGGGTGAGGGAGCCGGAGGTGTTCCTGTGGCAGAGGTGGGTGCAGGCTTCGGTCCTGGCGCTTTGGATTCATACCGTAGTCCTAGACACCATATGTGATCGTTACTATTGTTGGCCGGGAGCGGATCGTATACTGAGCGCAGGATCGTCCGGCCGACACGCTCGAACTCATTCATGACAGCGGTTGGCGTAGGTAAGGTCGAGGCTAGGTTGAGGTCGAGTCCAAGAGGATCGTCGAGCAGGTACTTTAGGTGGCGGACAGTCAGAGGTGTACCATGGCTTCTTGTCGAGGATGGGCAGGGCGGGGTGCTTTTGTTGCGGTAGGGAACGTGCGGCAAGTGACGCTGGGGTGCTGGTGTTGGCCTGGGTTGCACGCGGCGAGCTGCAGCTGGAGTCAGCTGCCTGGCCCGCCCCCGCCCCCGCCATGACCCGCGGTTCGTTGAGCCTGACGAACAGCGATGCTTTGCTGGCAACTGCCAGAGCCGCACGTAAATGTATTTCTCGATCCGGCAGCGCAAGCCTACATCGAGCCGCACTGCTCATAGATTGCTTTACACGGGCCTACAATGAGGTAGACGTGGCATGGCGTGGCATGTAGCTCGCCCACTGCGCGGTGCTCTCTGAGGCACGTTGCTTATCGATACCGGTCCCGCCGCCACCCAATTGCCAGCGTCACGACATTTCTGCCCGTTTGCCTCTACGCCGTTACCACGACTTCTTCTTCACCTTGACACGTCCACGTCGCCCGTTACCATGGGGAAGAAGAAGGGAAAGGGCAAAGGGACGCCCAAAACACTGGCGCGCCGTGCGCAGCCACGGCAGCTTTCGTCTCATTATGGGACTCCGCGGTCCACGATCCAGGAAGGTACAGCAACAGCGCGCCTTCCCTTCGTCTGCCTCTGTTGACATTTTTTTTGTTTAGCAACGTCGGCTGTGAAACAAAACTTTTCCCTGCGCGACGAAGCACGATACATGAGCAGCCACCGCTCTTCTGCCTTCGACTCTTCAAAGAAACTCCGCCACATGCCCGTGGTCTTCGTGAGCGCAGGCTGTCTGGAAGGCACCGTGAAAGAGAAGCCACCTCAAACCGAACCCGTTCTTTCAGTCTCCTCGTCATCGCCACCGTCTCCAGGCCCAGCCGCTACCGCTGCTCTCGCAAAAATGACGATCCGCAGCCCATCACCAACGCTTTCTGCGGCTTCGGCCTCTTCAGGTGCATCGGGTGAAGAACTCATCGTTTTCAGAGGACGTGGACACACGCCACTCACCCAACCGCCGTCCCTTCCCACGAAAGCCGATAGTGCTCTTTCCGTTTCTGCCCACACTACCAATTCCATGTCGCAGCCGGACCCACGATGCCCAAGCACTACGAAGGCCACTCTTTCCGCCACCGCCACCGCCACTCGATTCACCATCAGCACCTCGGACGCACACGCACACGCTGCCATGCATGCCGATGCAGCCATGGCGTCTATGGAGGTGCAGCCGAGCATTGCACCTGGGTCGGTTGCTGCAGCAAGGACCATCGATTCTACAGACCTTTCTCCATCCCACGGGCAGTCTCAATCTCACTCCCAATCTGACATTGCTTCGGACACCAACAGTCTCGTCGACTCTCACTTCGAGAAGCGGCGCGGTGGACGGGCCCGCTGGGAGGGCAAAGCTACAGAGTGGGTGTCCAGGAGCAAGCCAGGTATTGGCTGGTTGCCTGTCAAAGACCGCCCTAAAATGGACGACTTTGTAAACGGCGAGGTCGATCCTCGCGAGGCGGCAATGGATGACTACGCCCAGAACGCTGAAGCCTTTGGCCTTACTAGCGAGATGTTTGGCTTCGCCGCAGGCCGTGAGTTGGATTTGGATGCTGGAAGCCATAATGATTGGGATTCGGAGGAAGAGCTTGAGGTGCCCCCAGACCTGGAACAAGATGAGGATGACGGCTGGACTTCAGATCAGGCTCGCGACCTTGATGTTCTGAGCACTTCAGATGATGTTGAAGGCATTGTAGCTCGTATAACCGGTCGACGCACTCGGTCGCATGGCGTTCAATATCAGGTTGTCTACGAGGGGTGTACCAGAGATGATGCTCGGTGGCTACCGGTCGCTTACTTGACCACGCCGTCCGACAAGGTCCTTATTAAGGCGTACGAAACCAAGCGCTTGGCTCTTGAGCAGCAACAACAAGCGTCTAGCAGTTCCGACACCGGTAGCGAGTTCGATTTCAACATTGATGGTGACTCGGGTGAAGAACAGGAGGACTTGGACGACGAACAGCTCGCACGGGCGCTCCAGAGGCAAGAAGAATTGGGTATTGACGATGATGACCTCGTCTTATATGGCGCGGATGAGTACTTCAATGGCCAAGTCGGCACCGCCTCTAACGCTTCTCGAGCGACTGTCGACCGTCCGAACAAAAGGAGGCAGCAGCGAGCTGGTGGCGGCCGACGTGCCGACCCTGTCTTTCCTTCAGCTTCAGCGCTGGCTGATGCGCTCGATATGGATTCCTACAGCGGCTTCGACATCATGGACACAGAACGTCCTTCCTTGCGTCCTAGGAAGAAAGGTCGCCGAGGCCAGATGGCGCCAGAACTTGACGATCTCGATCTGAATGAACAACTGCAGGCATCGTGGGAAGCCGATCGACGGAAGAAGCGACTGAAGAAGGCCGAGCGAGAGGAGCTTCGTAAGCAAGGCTTGTTGGGTAGGAACGTCAAAGCTCCAAACCTTGTTGTCAAATACAAGGACGGCTTCGTTATGGAGGAAGTTATAGAGGAAATTCGCGATTTCTGGGCGACGGATATGGCCACCCTCTCCTTACCCGCTATGGAAGCTCAACGACGCGCAGTCATCCATCAGTTTGTGGGCGAATTTGGCATCAGTTCCAAGTCGCAAGGTGATGGAACTAAGCGCCATACGATACTTTCTAAGACCGTCCGTACGCTTAGGTTTGACGACGATCTCTTCGACAGGACCTTGGCGCAGAAGAAGTATACTCGGCGTCTGCATGCCGGTAACAACTACCCTCCGCAGAAGAAGAAAGAGAAGGGGACAAAGAACCGTCCAACGGTATCTTACAAAGATGGTGAAGTTGTAGGCGCGAAGGCGCCAGAGCTGGGGGTCGAAAACAGAGGCCGCGCTATGCTCGAAAAGATGGGCTGGAGCAAAGGTATGGCTCTTGGAGCGACAGATAACAAGGGCATACTGCAGCCTATCACGCACACTGTGAAGATTACGAAGGCCGGACTGCGGTAGAGCGGTGATCCTGCGCGTAGCAGCTCTGACGTGGGGTGCCGAAGTGTGAAGAAGGCACGCATTGGAAGGCGTCGAGCGCTTTTTTCTTCCACTGCGCTCTAGTCTTCTCTTTGCTTTCTCCATTTCCACGATCGTGGGCGGCTGTGTGTTCTTGTATGATACCTTTGTTTTTCGCTTCATTAGACGCTTTCGCTTCAAACGTCGAGACAGTTGACGGATTGGGAATATTGCATGGAGTCATTGGGGTCACATTGCTTGAGTATTACGACACACTGCATGGCATACGAAGGCATAGCATATGAAGGCGTGGAACGGTGCGAGCCTCCATGGAAAATTGAGTGATCGAGGACCTCACGGTCGCAATCACACCACTTGACCAAAGTTCTTGTCTGTTTCTGGTTGATGCTGAGTGTTCGCATCATTCTATATGCGTGCTGCCCATATGTCTGCCTGCCGTTCCTTCGTACTCCATCGCAGGGCACAGACAACAAAGGTACGATGGCCTTGGGGACTTCGTTGTCTCGTGACATCCGGGCAAAATCCTGGTCCGTGGTCTTTTACGTGTGGCTCTCGCATCAACGTGAATGTCGGCTCACCAATCTGAGTATGCTCATTGTTGCTTAAAATTTTCATGGGATACCATTAAATAAAGTATTGCATGGGCTTTTATACGTATGGAACTTATACAAAATCTTCAACTTAACGCGAGGTTCGCGATCATATTGCCACGCCATCTACCTATCGTCCCATTTAGATGTCGGTCACCCTTTACTCGACTGCGCTGAGTATACTGACGAAAGCAACTTTGTTGGTTGTGATCTTTGGGACATTTATAATTGTCTCTGCAAGCCTCCAGGTACCCGGTCGTGTCGTTGTTCGATTGCACGTGGTCGTGAGACTGTACGTTTTGTGCAGAGCAAAAACGTTCAGTAAATACCAAAAAAAATTCACCAACCACCATAACCTTGTCCCAACATCAAGAAATCATACAGTACCATGGAATCAGGTTCGAGGAGCACAATGAGATCGGTTTCATTGACCTTCTTGCCATATAATATGGTCATTCGATATACGCTTGTCTGGTGTGCCACATGCGAACCATTTCGCACCATCAACAAGTCGTCGACGGCCAACACAAATTGAGAATTCACATCAAAGCTATGAAACAGGTAAGCAATTTGATTTCATCCAGAGAACGTCCAGGCTCAGTCACCAAAGCCATATCGTTGGTCTCTTGATTGTGAGCTTAGACAAACTCATGCCACCAAGTGAAAATATCCACTCTTATTTGCTCTGATCGAATTATCCAATCCCCCTTAGCATCGGTATAAAGGCCTGTGTTACCCCAGGCCAGACAATGCAGAGGTCGAGGAGGCTCAAAGGCTTGAATTTCTCGGCCTTTATCGTAGTGTATCTTGGGATAACTTGGCTAACCATCCACACTCCAAGTCCTCACCTACCTTGATACGCATACAGCCGATAATGGCAGACATCTTTTATTGACTGCACATTCATTGCAAGCTACAGAGCTCATTGATGGCGTCCACTCATACGTCCACAGCGATACGGCGCCGACCTATCCTCCCCGCTCACCAAACTCCCTCGCCCAATCCTCGTACTCCTTCAAACCCTGCCTGCTGACACTCGGTCTGATAGTTTGCAGACTCGCCTTAAAGTCCTCGAACCGTATCGGCCTAATCTCATCCATGGTCATGTGCAGTAGCCTCTCGCCCAGTGAGCGCAGAGGACCCATGGCCGCGTCTTTGGCGAGCGCTGTGATATCGGAACCGGAGAAACCTATCTCATCATTAATGCTACAATGCGTCGACTACATTTGGAAGAGTGAGCAATAACTTACCATCCGTGAGCTGTACTAAACGATCCAAGTCAGATTCACCGAGCTCATGCTTTTGGTGGCTTAAGAGAGTCTGGACTTGGCTTTTTCGGACGTGGTCTTCAGGCAAAGGGATATATTGTCTTCTTACGAAACGTCTTCGTGCGGCCTCGTCGATAGACCAAGGGAGGTTTGTTGCGGCGAGAACCAATACGCGGCTCGCATCGCCTCTTTCTTTATCCTTGTCCGTTTGCTCCTTTCCTGCAGCGGCTTTCGCGAGATCAGACCACTGGATGAGGAACTCTGTCTTGATACGCCGCGTGGCTTCATGCTCGCCAGAGCCGGACCGAGAAGACAAGAGGGAGTCTATCTCATCGATGAATATGATAGAGGGCGCAAGCAATTTGGCTAGCGCAAAGAGCGCACGCACGAGCTTCTCCGACTCACCCAGGAACTTCGATGTCAAGCTGCTTGCGGAAATGGCAAAGAATGTTGAATGCGATTCGGTAGCGACAGCTCGGGCAAGCATCGTCTTACCTGTACCCGGAGGACCGAACAGAAGCATACCACGAGCAGGCTCTCGCAGGCCCATGAAGAGATCAGGACGTAAGAAAGGATAAACGACCGTCTCTTTCAATGCGGACTTCGCCACGTCAAGCCCAGCGACATCGCTCCAATGCACTTCATCTCCCTTGATGACGATCTCGTTTAGAATCTGTTTGGCAGCCGCCTCGTCTACACCTCGTGGTAAAGATTTCATGATGCCGCGGACCTTCTCTTTCCATTCATCTGAATCGCTTTCAGACCCCGAGAGCCCAACTTCAGACGATGGCGTAGGGGGTAGATCGGCTCGAACAGTACCCGCTTTGGCTTTACCTTTTCTCCGCGGTGGTGGTCTTGTCTTCGTTTCGTTGTCATCAGTCTCGACAGCGATAGGCTGAGGAGGTTCCTTTCGCAGCTGCGGAGCTCGATTGTCAGTATCGTTATTGCGAGCAAGTTGTTGAGTAGGTCGAGGATGTGACAGGGTTGTTTTGTTGGAGAAATCAGGCCACGATAGTTTTGCCGCGGCTGAGGCGGCGAGAGCGCGGTTACTGGGTGCTGGTTCTGGATACTCGTTGCGGTACGATGGCATTGCGGGAATCGGAACACCCGCTTGGAAGCTCTTGGAGCGACCTGTATCAAAGGAATGTCTAGGGCTAGATGGTGCTGGCACGATTTTACGGCGTAGATGAGGTGGCCTCAACGCTTGCTCAGGGTCAATTCCATTGTCTGCTGGCGGAGGATTACATGCCGGGGAATTCAAGGCATCCGTAGAGCGAGAAAATGGAGAATGCTGCGACTGGTACGGTACGTTACCGTGAGCAGATACTGACGGAATGCTTGTGTCTAGGGAGGAGCTGGGTGTTTCTAGAGAAGGCCGGCTCGAAGAAACCTGTGGTATTGCTGGAGAGGCTTTCGCCAATCTGCCAGAACTAGGGATTGACTTGAAGCCCCACGCCTGAGTCGCTGCTTTGGCCGCATCCGGGGGCTGGGACCTCATCGAAGTCGGAAGCTTGGAAGACGAGGACGACTTGCTATCCCTTCCTGGCCTCAAGGTTCTCAACATGCGCCCTTTTTTCTCGGGGGAAGGTGTCCGCGAGTCCTTTGCGCGAGTTGCAGCAGGCGTCATCAAAGAAGGTCCACTTATGGTTTGGGTAAGTGTCCGAGTCGACTCAGCTCCAGAGCTCTTTCGAGGGGCGAGTGAGGGTCGCTTGGGCAGGGGCGGCGGTCGCGAGAGATCGTTGTAATCGACGGGGCGTATGGTGCCGTCACCCAGCCAGCTGGGAGAACCATTGCCCTCTGTTTGCGACGTAAGAGTGGCATGAGGGGGTGGCGTGGGGGCTTTGGTGTCGACGGGTGGTGAGGTGATCCTCTCATTGCTATCGTCGCGGCTACGCTTCAGTGTCTCGAGCAGATCGACGCGTTCTTTACATTGCAGCTCGAGCTGCCGCAGCGACTCCACAAGGGCTCGTTCGGTCGAGGATGCCGGGCGGATCAGCGCGGGCCCCCGGTGAGCGTTGTGATAGGTGATCTGGTCAAGTGCTGTCCTCCAGGAACGAAGTGCTTCGGCCTCGTTGCTCTGCGATTCGAAGTACACGGCCGTGGAGCAGGCGAGGAAGGCCTCGTCGTAGGCCTTTTGTGTCGAGTTGGCGCGCATTGCTGGTATGCATACGGTCCAATATCCACTATGCGGCGCGCAAAGAAAGGTGGATGTTGGTCGCAACGCGTGGTGGGCTCGTATGTGACGTAGCCTCCACTAGCCTGGCAAATCACATGACCTAGCCCTTCTGCGAGCGATTACTGGTATCATCGTGTCTTTCCTGCTACCATCTGACAGTACATTTCCACGATCTATAGCTTCCCAGTCACCCTACTGCTGCTCCCCCTCTATTCGCATCCCAGATGGCTCGCGTGTAATGTTGACCGCAAACGGTATAGTCGGAAGCAGGAGCGGGGCCTCCGCGGAGATCATCTTATCAGATTCCGTACGCTTGGCCGCTGCAAAGATGGACGATGACCGGAGCTTGAGAGATACCGTACGAGACGACTGATTATCGACAAGTACTACCATCTACCAGCCTGAACCGTACCACTCGCGCAGGTCCTCGTGTTGGCTGCTGCATGAGGCAGAAGGAACACGCTGCCAGAATAGCGACCCAGATGGATCGATCCCGTGTCGAGCAAGTGACAAAAGACGTCTGGGAGCTAACCCGTTGTGACGACAGCGGCCCAAGCTCCCGACTCTGCTCACAGATTGCCGCTTCACAAGTCGTTCAGGTCGCTGCCGATTTGTGCTGCATCGAGCTTCTCTGCGCGACCCATGAGCCAATTGTTTGCTCGAGGGCGCGTCTGCCGTCTTCCGCACAGCCTGTCCCTGGCCACGCGGGCTGCCTCGCGCTGTAGCTCGACCTCGTCCACCGCGCCGTCCATAGCTGCACTCTTCAAACAAAGTCCATCATCTTCTTCACAGCCTCAGCCCTCGTCGTCACCCGGCAAGACGCTGACGCTCAATGGCTTCGTGCGCAGCGTGCGGAAACAGAAGCGTGTGGCTTTTGCTGCCATAGGCGATGGTTCTTCTCTGAGGACGGTGCAAGCCGTCCTAACACCCGAGCAGGCCGACGGGTTAGTGCCTCCATCAATATCACACATCATGTCGCCCATGCTAACCTGGTATGCAGCCTGTCCACGGGAATTGCTGTAGCAGTGACTGGTCGCTGGACGCCGTCACCAGGCGCAGAGCAGTCCTTCGAGCTCCAAGCCGATCGTGTGCGCGTCTTGGGCACCAATGATGCTGCTGTACGTACACCAGGGGCAGCGAAATGTCATCATTTTTCAGCTGACGATGCATTCCTTGGTCAATCTAGACGTCACCTTTACAAAAGAAATATCAAACACCCGAATTTCTTCGCACGTTGCCCCATCTGCGTGCCCGGCTGCCCTTCAACGCACTGCTTCTCAGGCTGAGGTCTCTGGTCACGGCCCAAGCGACCAACTACTTCGTGAACCACGGATTCATCCAAGCGCATCCACCCATCATCACGTCTTCCGACTGTGAAGGCGCCGGCGAGGTCTTCACCATAGCACCAGAAGTGTCGTCCAACCCTGCAGAGAGGACCGCAGAGCAATCTAAAGAGCGCCAAGAGCTCTTCTTTGGCTCCCCCAAGTACCTCACCGTATCTAGCCAACTCCATCTCGAGGCACTCGCCCAGTCAGCCGGCAAGGTATGGACGTTGTCTCCCACGTTCCGGGCGGAGAAGAGCGACACGGCTCGCCACTTGAGCGAGTTCTACATGCTGGAAGCCGAAGTCGCCTTTGTGGAGAATTTAACGGACGTCATGGATGTAGTGGAAGGCCTGCTGCGTACCCTCGCAACCGAACTGCAAGCCTCTTCAGTTGGCGCCGAACTTCTCGAGGCTCGGGCCCGAGACGACAAGGAAGATGGCAATGCCGTGTCCAGCACAGTGCTTGCACAACGGTGGCGAGGGCTGATCGCGGGACCTTGGCCACGTATCACATATCGAAAAGCGTTGGAGCATTTACGATTAGCTGTTGCTAACGAGGAGGCGCAATTTGAGTTTGCACCTGGGCACGAAGATGGGCTTCAAACGGAGCATGAGCGATTCCTTGCTGAACGCCTGGGAGGCGGAGGCCCCGTTTTCGTCACAGACTATCCGCGCGAAATCAAGCCGTTCTACATGGCACCTTCTTCCAAGACGACCGCAGGCCCTGGCCAATCCCCCACTGTTGCCTGCTTCGATCTTCTCGTCCCCGATATCTGCGAGCTTGTAGGGGGCTCGATGCGTGAACATCGCCTGCCCCAGCTTATCGAATCGATGGAAGCCCACGGCTTGCGTGATGCTTCCACACAGGGATCAGCATCTTCCGATGGTTCTCTACAATGGTACCTGGATCTGAGAAAATACGGCAGTGTGCCTCATGGCGGCTTTGGACTGGGCTTCGACCGTCTATTGTGCTACTTATCAGGGGTCACTAATATCAGAGACGTCGTCAGCTTTCCTCGATGGCACAAGCGGTGCGATTGTTAGGGGAGACGAATATGGAGCGCAGCGAAGAACGTCGGATGATGCTTCGCATGTAACAACAAGATTTCCAGAAGTTCGGCAACAAATGTATAGACTTCTCGCCTGCGCGGGTGTACGATATATGTAACACGTAGAATAGGAGCGACACAGGTCAGCCCCGTCTCGCTCAATTGCACATCGAGGCCTAGTGCCCGTCTTTGTACGTTGTGCCCCGAAGGACCACAGTGCATAATGATATCACTGGATCCCGTATGAAGGGCAGGCTTTCCGGCGGAAGGGCACCCAGGAACTGGGTACGGGCACATGCAATCTCAGCATCTGGTGGCGGAATGGAAATAGAAGACCCATCACGCCTGCTGTCCTTGGACATTGCGAGCTAGGAAAAGTACAGTGGTCCCGACCCATGGAGCTGTATACAACGACTACTATCACGTAGCAAACTCGGCCGCATATAAGAGCGGAGCCACCGCGGAGATCATCTTATCAGATTTTGCAGGCTTGGCCCGGCTGCGACTCGTTGCGACTCGCTCCGGAGATGACCCAAGCTTCCCCGCCGAATCCGACTACTCCTTGCGGTCACTCTTGCCAGTTGGTGACGGGGAGGCGAAGGGGGAGTAGCAGCAACAGGGCGGCTGTAGGAACTGTAGATAGTAGGCAACGGGGCGGTCGAGAAGCGCGCAACAGTCGCTTGTAGACGTTGAATCGTTAGGTCATATAAGAGGTACAATGCACGTTTTGCCGGGCCCGCCGCTCCGAGTTTCGCGCTACGCTTCGTTTCTCTCGGCGAGTCGTTTTGCCCTTCAGCTATCCAGAACTTAAACCTACAACCACATCACTGCAACGCCTCTGCCGCTCATCCACCCACACTCTCCTGCAATCACATCGCCACAAGGAAGCAGCGACACACCCATTCTAGCTCGTCTCCATTAAATTCGCAAACCTGGAATCTGCGCCGCTAGCCAGCGGTCATTTAATGGCCACCCATGGAGGACACACAGCTGTGGAAGAAGCCGAGCACGAGTACAGCTCCCAACAGCGCCGTCGCGACCTTCACTGACCACACCTCCAGCTATGAATCGCTACCGCCGAACTTCTCGCTCTCCGCAAACATGCTCGCGGGCGCGTTCGCGGGAATTGCCGTATGCTGCCGCGCTGGAACGCCACAGAGCGAGCGCTAACTGCGCGACAGGAACACTCGGTCATGTATCCAATTGACTTGCTGAAGGTGCGCCGGCTCTAATGCCTGTCACGATGCTCCTCGAGCAGTGCGCTAACAATTCGCAGACGCGGATGCAGGTTGTCAACCCCTCGCCCACAGCCATGTACACTGGCATCTCAAACGCCATGGTCACAATATCGCGGGTAGAAGGATTTAGAACGCTATGGAGGGGTCTCTCCAGTGTCATCGTAGGCGCAGGTCGGTCTCGACGGCGGTATGGCATAGTGAGGCGAAACTGACGAATCCTCAGGTCCAGCGCACGCCGTTTACTTTGCGTCCTACGAGGCGACCAAACATGCTTTGGGCGGCAATGAAGGAGGCAGCGAGGCGCATCACCCTTTTGCAGCAGGTGCGTCGCGTCGAATGGACGCAGCCGAATAGCTTGCTGACCAGAACTAGCGGCAAGCGGAGCAGCAGCCACAATTACCAGCGATGCCTTGATGAATCCTTTCGATGGTAAATAACCCCCTTGGCCACGTCAAACACGCGCTCACTTTCGCAGTCATCAAGCAGCGCATGCAGCTGCACGGCTCGGTTTACAAATCCGTCCCGCATTGCGCTCGCGAAGTTTTCCGCCACGAGGGCCTCAGCGCATTCTACGTCTCCTACCCTACTACGCTATGCATGACGGTACCTTTCACGGCGTTACAGTTCATGTCATACGAGTCAATTTCCAAAGTCATGAACCCCACAGGTCGCTATGACCCTTATACGCATTGCTTTGCCGGAGGTCTAGCGGGAGGTCTCGCTGCAGGGTTTACGACGCCGTTGGATGTGATCAAGACGCTACTTCAAACTAGGGGTAATGCGACAGACTCGGAGCTTAGGAACGTTTCGGGGCTTATGAATGCGGCAAGGATAATACATCAGCGAGACGGATGGAAGGGGTACTTTCGAGGATTGAAACCAAGAATCATCACCACGATGCCCAGCACGGCAATCTGTTGGTATGTTGTGCCAGCGGGTCATCTGAAGTTGTTGATAGCTAACAGGAAGGCAGGTCTGCCTACGAGATGGCAAAAGCATTTTTCATTGCGCGCAGCGAACGAGGGTCGACGGCCTAGAAGCCGCCAAACAACTACATACCGGTGAATGACGGTGCTGAAATCTTGAGTAATTGTACATGGGCAAAGGCACCCGCGATAGAGAGGACCCTGCGGCGGCGTCGTGGAAGATATTTGCTCCTTTGCGCGGAGTACGGCATGCCTTCTTGTGTGTATCATAGAATTGTGAGGTCCGTCATGGACCGGACGAGGTACTTAATCGATAACAAGAGGGAATGCGTCTCGCTGAATGCGACCATGACAGCGCGAAGACAAAGCTTAGGCTTGGCAGTCGGGAGCCGAACATGTGCGATGCATCTGTGATGTGATGACTGTCACCGACATGCGCTAGCGAGCGTGACGGGTGTCCTGCTGTGGGCGTCCTTGTCGATGGTCGAAGCCACAGCCACGCGCGTTTCGCATCAGGGCGGGTTGACCTGCACCAGAAGCGGTGGCTGTCTACCAAAGCCGGTAGATGTAGAGGATCCAGTCTAGTGCCCAGTGCGCTCGTCCGATGGGTAAATCAGACGTCAGACGCCAACGCTGCTTCGTGCATGGCCACAATACAGTGTCTACTTTTTCCCGCAGGTTCCTGTGCGAGTGGATGCGGGAAGCGGCGGTATGGGCCGTCGAGCAAACGGAAGGGAGCTTTCCGTGAATGGGGCGTCCGTCGTTCTTGAGCCTCGCTTGCTGTGCCGTGCGTCAGTCCGCAGTGTTTCCCTGAACCGGCTCGATGGATGCAACGCCATCTCCTGCAGCTGCTGCAGGCTGTTGGCGATCGGGGCTCCCCAAGTCGCGTGCGATCTGGACCAAGATGCACCGCAGATCGGCGCCCGCAAACCCAGGAGATCGATCTCGACGCCCGCCTCGTGCGCCCACGCCTCTAGAAACTTGCCGCGCCGCAGGTCCCAACACCCTCTATTTGGCTGCAGGATGGGATCCCCGAGCCACAAATGGTCCTCGTTCCACTCCCGCTGCCGTTCCCGCGCCCTGTACGTACCCTTGGTTGCTTGTTGTGCCCACGAGTCAAGTCTTTGTGTGCGGTGTGCGGCTTGGTGAATAGACGTGGTGGCACCTTGCGTTTGAGCGTCGTAGCCCTGTAGGGCAACCGTCGGATCTGAATCACTGACAAGCAGCTTCTGCTTTTGTGCTGTGCGGCGAGACCAGCCCTGCTAGTGACGGCTCCATCAAGCTCTAATGAGTAGTCCAACTGCCATCACACGTGCATAGCAGCGCACCTGGGCAACAAATCATATACTGGCCTGCTCGCCGCTCATCTTCTCCACTTACATGTCTGCCTGACTTTGCAACAACATTCACTACTCGTTGCCAATTTGTCCTCATCATCTCCTGCCTCGCCTGTTTGGCCTTCTGTACAATCCCCATCACAATGCCATCATGCCACCATCCAAGCCAAAACCATCTGAGATAGCAGCTGAAGCAAAGCGGATATGGCTACCGTACATCTGGAAGCACTACGTCAAGGACCCCAAGACTTCGTACGCGTACCCGGATTCATCTGCTATAAGAGTCGGTGCGGACAAGAGGTCGCGTAACAGGACACGGGTTGCTGTGTTAGAAGGTGACCCCATCACTCACGCAATGGGCTGGTACCAGAATGCCATTCGCGACCCCGTGTACAAGCATTGCAAACGCATACCGGTTGTCAACATGGCCAACGAGAGGCGTGCCGGAGGAGATTGGGAATCTGGCCTGACAGCACCCGAAGAATGCTTTGCAAGGAGAAGCAATCTCGTGCATGCGCTGACGATGCCGTGGAACGCGCAGCTGGGAAGAGACGAGAACCACTATCCAATACCGCAAAGAGGGGGTATATATTGCCCAGAAGTTTGTAAGTATCGGCTGCTTCTTGACCGGTCGTAACTGACACACAAAGTTGTCTTTCGAGGGGGCCCGGACATGGACTATGCTACTTTCCAAGAGATCGAAAAGCTACCAGTCATCTCAGTCGCTCCCGTGCGAGGACCAAGGCTCAACGAAGCAGGCAGCAGCTACTCGTTCGAACAGGAGAAAGAGCTGATGAAGGAGAAGATGAGAACAGTTCTACGAATTGCAGCGTATTGCGACCACAAAAACCTGGTCATAGGAGCTTTCGGCCTTGGGCCCATCTTCCGAAATCCCGCACGAGAAGTTGCGAAGATGTGGAGGATACTCCTGTATGAAGAGGAAGAATTCCGGGGCGTCTTCACAGACGTCGTGTTTGCCATTGACAGCAACATGGTGGGGCCGCCGGCCAAGACTGGAGTCTCAGACGTCGACATCTTCAGGGAAGAACTGGATCCTTCGACCATCTTTCCAACACGATATGGCTGGGGCTAGGCAGCGTCCTGAAACCCGAATGCGAACTGGCCGTCTGAAGCATGATGTCAGAGAGGGCAGGCGGCGAAATCGGACTAAAATCTCGGTTATCTGGGATGGCGTGGGTGCATGTGGGCTGCGGGAATCTCAAGATGCCAGCCAATCGCCAGCAATTCACACCACCCCTTTGGAATTGGCACTTCGCTTAGCGCCACGCTTACCTGGTCATCCACTTCCAGCCCATGTTTGCTTTAGCCTAGCCGCTTGCATCTGGACACGGACCGAAGTGTAGTGGTGAAAAAGCAACTCGAGCGGACTGGCATTGTAGGGGACGTGTTTCGTTTCGCAATTGTGCACCAAATGCCGACTAACCGGAGGAATCTGTTGCCTGCAATAGGCGTTGGCTGTGTTACGTGGCATGACGGCGGCCAGTGTTGGAGCATGCCGTTGTCTAGATGGAACATCGAGGGTTGATTGTGGCCGGTGCAAGGACATACCCGGTATAGAGACCTCTTCAGTCAATCTCCCGCTGCTCCCCGATTCGCTCCTGTCATGTGGTCGATAGCTGTAACACCACGACAGCAATACAAAGTCAATCTATGAGCAAACGGGCCCCCCCGTGGGTTGTGGACCTAAGCTGGTGACGACATTATGCAACTCCTGCTAGATCCGGGTCTTGGAAAGCTCTGGGATGCGCAAAGATGTTCAGTTACGCAGCGGTCAGAACACCCCTAATGCCTACGTTGTAGGTCGCGTACTGCGTGACAATTGATCTCTTGTAAGCACGACGCATGGTGGCGTTGGACTGTTACAGCACCCAAATACACCTCCGACGGTCGCCCAATATCTACATAGCCAATAACGTGGTCAAGTCGGAAGCATGTCAAGACTCGTGTCACAGGAATATGTTGATACGAGGTAGACAATTTTCGCGTTCTTGCGTAGATCCATGTCGTCAAGTTTTGCGTAGTTATTGAGCCTGATGCTGCCCGTCTTCGACGTAACGCGGCAGCAACATGCTGTCTGAGCCGATTCACAAGGTGTTACGAATAGTCCTATCAATTGGAGTGGTTAGTGGGTACACCTTTGCATGCACGGTGGCCGACATTTAAAATCGAACTTCTACGTGCCACGCCAGATCCTACCTGACGCAGGTGAGAGCAAAATTTCTGATTCAGCCATGACAGACGTGTTATAGCTTGAGTAACCCAGGGTAGAATACCTCAAATATGAGTGATGTACGCCCCCATCCTTCAAGTTGGCATGAGAGCCTGCCAAGACCACTCCAATGTTCGGTGTCGGCCACTGTGTTGCACAATCGCCTCACTCGACCAACTCACGGATATAGTATGGAATTTCAACGGCACGTGGCGAATGTATGCAGTGGTCGTGAAGCGGCGTTACTATTACAACTGCACTCTAGCCAGAGACAGCGATGCTGATGTGGTGGTACACATATTGTACAGTATGTCCAAGGTCCCTCGTCTACACCATGATCCACTCGATCTACCTGTTATTTCCCACGGGTAACTGAGGTGCAATGATTTCGCCGCCTTCGGCTTCGATCTTCTTTATGGTTTGCTCTTTTTGGTAATTGACGACTCGCTGCTTCTTGAAATATTCGACCTGTCAGCGCAATTAGCCGCCCGAATCCCCCAATACGATACAAATGAAATACCCAACTATGTGCGCAGTTCTTTTCGAAAGCTTGGTCGGCCGGTCCGCAAGCTTTCGCTGCCGCGTCTCTACCCTTCTTGGTGTTTACGCTGTCTAGAATATTGTTTCGGTCGAGGCACTCAAAGAAGGCGTCGCGCGATTCATAGCACTTCTGCCGCGTCGTCTTTGTCGGGGCCACAAATGCGCCGTCGGCGGTCTTCTTTGGACCTGAGTCGTCCGAGGATGATGAGAACCAACCCATTGTAATACGGATAGTTACTGAGTGATGGAGTCAGCAAAACATGTCCGCGCGCGATGTTGAGCCTGTGGCTTGGTAAAGCTGCACTTACGATCGAGGATGTACCTGGACTGGATTGCTTCGCGCGAGCTCAGTAGAGATCAGTTGTAGAAAAGAGCTCGGAGCTCGGAGCTAGGTACCGTACGCCAAGAAATCCGCCGTTGCGCTCAGGCACGGCCAACATGCGCGCAGTCAGACACCCCGTATACACACATCGCAGCATTCTGCACATATGCCCACCATACGATAGTGTCCTCTGCTTGGGCTCATGCCACGTCGTCGTCGTCCGCCTCGCCCCGGCGCGCTAGCAGATCTCTCTCCTACCCGCATCGCCTCCCAGATTGTTCTCCTCCAACTCGCCTACTATGCCTGCGCCGCCGTTCTAATCGTCTTCACCGCCCTAGTCGCCGGCAAGGAGGTTAGTACAGACCTTCTGTTTAGCTGGCAGAGCCTCCGCGGCGATACTACTGTTGGCTGGACCCTCGGTCTCGTCTGGGTGCTCAATAGCCTTACCTGGTAGGCTTCCATCGTTGTGACCTTGGTCTATTCTTCATGTTGACACGTTCCCAGCGTCGTCTTCATCTTTCTCCTCATCGCGCGCTCCAAGCTCGTCCTCGATTTCGCGCTTACAATACACTTCATCCACCTCATCGTCACCTCGCTCTATTCTCATGCCATCCCGACCAACCTCTTCTGGTGGGCGCTCCAGGCATGTAGCGCTACCCTCATGACGTCCTTGGGGGTATGGGCCTGCCAGTGGCGAGAGTTACGACCCATCAACTTCGGCCCTAAGACTGCCGCGAGGCAAGACGCCAGCGCTGTCGAGGAGAACCTTGGCGAGAGCAGAGGAAGGGGTAGGGGCAGGGGGAGAGATGGCGGGGAGATTATGAAATGGTAGGCATGGGTGGTGGTGACGACAACGTTTGATTTGGCGTCCATACTCTGTACTTGCATGGCAGCGGCGTTTTCTTTTGGGATAGAGCTCGGAGAATCGAGGCATGGGAGGACTGTTTGTTCGACCATATGTACGATTACAGGGACCTTTGACTACAACGTAACGGCTTTCCTATGTACTCGACCGTACTACGTTCACGGTGTTTTCGGAAATACCCTTGATTCAACAGTATCATCATAAGGGGTTTCCATGGCCGCCGATCTGCAATAAGAAATATTGACTGTAATACACATTATCTCGTTGTAATTGTACCAAAAAGAATGCGTTGCTAGGGTTATAAATACCTTTGCAACGTGGGGGGAAAGCGTAGAGCTTTGCGTTGGACTGAACATGGGACATGATGGGGGCCCGAGACTCTTGGTAGACGTTTACACATCCATAATTGTGAACTTTCACTACCGAGGTAGCTGATACGATTTTTTGTATATAATTTGCTTGGGCCATCACTATATATCCTGGTGGACCTGCAGGAATATGGAGCATGACATTTAGAGGCCGTTTAAACATCACGTGCGCGAGCTTCACCCGACTTGTAGAACGTGAGTGGGGAAAGCGCCAAGCTCGTCCCTCACCTTTACACCATAGCAAGAAAAATCTACAATGCAACCACGAGCAACAGATCACAAAGTACTTTTCGGCTACTGCGACGAAGTGGATAATACGCCGACATGAATTCGAGGGGCGGGCCGTATGGGCAGTGGCCGGCACGCAACCGAAACGGTCCGAGATCCGGGCCATTCGTGCCTGTTGCTGGCACCTTCTCTGAACCAGCGCCACGAACAATAGGATACCCCGTCCAAGACCCCAGACAGCCACACGTACCCAGCGCTGCGCATCATCTGTTCCCTCCACAACACGCCTATAATGGCGTACCGAGGATCCCCATCTCGAACGCAGAGTTCGAGCAGGCTCGTGCGACTTTCTCGGACTCTTCGTACCAGGAAACACTAATCGCTCCTCTATTCACCGAACCGGTGGAATATGAAGGTTTCATTCCAGCTCCAGGCCATGAAAATGACCATGTTGCCGCTCCTGATACGTACGACAACAGGCATTACGACTATGACTACGATACTTCTACCGAGGAGGATGACAGCGAAGATGAGCGAATCACGGCCGAAGCTGCGCTAACTCATGATCGAGAGGAAGATAAAGACTTCTCTTTGTCCGACGATGAGCTTGAGGAGAATCCTGAGGATTTCATGATTGTGGATGCTGACCTCTCAGAGGAAGAGACCGTTCCCAAACGCGTGAAATCCAAGGGCAAGGGAACGAGAGGAGGCCGGCGTGGTAGACCTCCTTTAGATCCGCGAAGCGGGTCAAGACCTATGGCACAGCGGGGTCGAAAACCCGGGACCAAGGGCAGGCCTAAAGGCAAGATCGGACCACGCCCTGTAGCAGATCCTGGACCCGAATTCAAGGATTTGCAACGACTGGCGAACGAAGCCTACATGAAGGAAGATTACGAGACCGCAATGAGCCATGCCAAAGAAGCTATAAAGCTGAATCCGGAAATATTCTCCGCTTACAGTCTGTTGTCGGAGATATACGCCGCTATGGGTAATGAGGAGGACTCTATAGGGACTCTGATGGGTGGTGCACCGACAAAACGCGATAAACATCTCTGGTATCTATTGCTCGAGCGAATCGAGAAGATCGATCCCGTTGACTATCCCAGAATGGACAGGAATATGAAAGACAAACTTTCCGTCTTGTGTCTGACGTCTATCATCAATCTTGATAGCGATGACTGGGATGCTCGCTATAAGAAATTAGAACTTGAAGTCCGGCGTCAGCGACATTCTTCATGTGTCATACTCTGCCGCAAGATGCTAAAAATACGGCCGCACGATACGCGCGTTCTGTCTACAATGGCGCAAATGGGAACAGCGAATGACAGACAAACGAGTCTTCATCTCTCCAGCGTCATTGAATCCTTTGAGTCTACAGTCAACCATTTCGTTGCACTCAACGATCCTTCGAACAGTGGATTGGACTTCGGCTTCCTATATGTTTACCTTGATCTTTTAGACAAGGCAGGGGACTACAACTACGCTCTATTCCGCCTCAAGACCCTCTCTCGATGGATCCAGAAGAGGGCCGCTGAAACTTACTGGGATGACCTAGACGATGACCGTGAATTCGACTTTGAAGACGTGCCACGACGCATAGCTGTAGTTGAGTTTGCACGACAGACGAAGAAGCGCCGAGGCAACTATGGAAAGGGATTGCCTTTGGAGATAATCATCAAGATGGGCCTATTCCGACTGCGCACAGTTCCACCAAATTTCGACGAAGCCATGCGGCACCTCAATCTGCTTTATCCGGAAGACGATAGCAGTGAGGAAACCCTGCTGTGGGAGGATACAAACCTGTTCGACACAGTGGCGAGAGCTCTCTTTGAGACCGATCATTACAAGGAGGCTTTGCGGTTCTACGAACCTCTTTACAGGCATAGCTTACTACCACAGACTCTGGAAAGCTACATTGGGATGTATACGTGCTACCGAGAAGTGGGGGACACAGGAAAAGCTGAGATCATTCTACCAAAATTGCATGATTGGAAGGAGACGAATTTGAAGGACTGGGCAACCTTGGCGAAGTTCTTCGAAGATCAAGGCATGATGGCCGAAGCTATGCGTCGTGCAGAAGTTGTCTTCCAGAATCGTGCTTCCTTGCTCTTAAGGGCCAATGGATTTCATCATTACGACGAACTCCGGAGGCATTTCTTCAAGGCGCGAAAGCAAGCCCGAGGCAAACATGGGGTTAGAAAAGCGCGTGTCAAGAAATACATGAAGAAGCTCAAAGCGGCGACACGTAACGATGGAGAAACCGATCAGGAGGAGAACACTACCGAGCGTCCTTCACTTGGACCATTGAAGGATAGACCGAAGAAAGGCTTGTTTCGCACGAAGGAGCGGCCTCTGGAGAAGAAGCCTCAGACTTTCATGCCGGTAGATGAGCCCAAAACCTTGGAGGGTACAGAAGTTCCCCTGACTGCCATCGATCACAACATCTTCCGCAAGAAGCTAAAAGATCTTGCAGACCACTATGCAGACGAGCTTGCGGCTGCTAGGCTCAAGCATCGTGAGATCACTGCTAGCTTCTCTCGGTTGGAAAAATTGTGCGACAATGCGGATGGCGGAGTCCGGTCTGCCTCCACCGAATATCTATCCATAGCCAGAGAGCTCATCGAGGAATTTTCGACATTTGATATTTTCTACTCTGACCGCCGACAGGCATTCCGAGGCTACTTCAGGCGCTTGGGTTCCGGAGACATCTGGAAGGAATCTGCTCTGATGATTCTGGCTGTAGGGGCAAACCGAGTGGAAGATGGTGAAGCGGATGTAGAGTTGAAAGAACGACCCGACACAACTCCGGAAGACTTCTTCGGTGTCCACTTCGACCAATGGGCCGAGGTCTTTTGTCGCTACGCTCTTCTTCTTGCTCGCGAAGGGTCGGAAGAACGTTGCTTCAATGTTCTGGACGTGGCCTTGCAGTCTAACGTATTCTACAAATCCCAGAAATACACTTGCAGCATTGAACTTTGTCGTCTGTCCTGCGCATTGGCTGTCGATGACTCCGTGCAAGTTTCTGCTAGCATTCGGTACCTTCTCAAGACGTATCCTTTTGGCACTGAGATCTTCCGCTTGTACAGCGCCGCGAATCGCCTATGCTCCGTTAGCGATGGCTACGCTACCGGAGCCGCAACCAAAGTCGTTATGAGGTGGATCAAGACAATCGACTATGCCCTGCTTGATCCGGAGAATCGTAAGTGGTACAATTTCGCAGGCGGTGACCGTACGCAATGGATGCAACAAACACTAAATTCCGGGCTTATTGGCCAAGTCAAAAAGCATGATCCTGCCCTATTTGCGCTGTTTGGACACCTTTTGATGTGTACTGGCTCGTATACGGCAGCTCTGAACTACTTCTTCCGGGCGTTCGCCATCACGCCCAAAGATCCGGTCTTGAACTTGTCGATCGGTGTCGCTTACTTCCAGCACGCACTGAAGCGCCTTTCAGAGAACCGACAGTACCAGATTCAACAAGGCATAGCATTCATTACGCGTTATTACGACTTGAGAACCATGGAGAAGGTCGGTGTCCATCAACAAGAGGCTGAATTCAATGTTGGCAGGGTGTATCATGGTTTAGGCCTTGTTGCTCAGGCCATACCTTACTATCAGCGCTGCATAACCCTGAGCGGTCTCCCTGAAGACCGGACTGTGGAGGATTTTGTGGCTGAGGCTGCTTATGCACTCCAAACTATTTACATGTTGAGTGGGGACTTTGAAGGGGCTCTCGAGGTAACGATGTCACATCTGGTCATTGAGTAAACGATATCAGGGAACTTCAGTGCGCAAGGATGAAACAGGACCTAGCCTCCGATTGCTTTGTTGATGTTCGATCCTTAGATGCGTCCCAACCTGGTCTTTAGGCACCGCATCCCTCCTCGTTTCCAGCATAAAGTGGCCTGTGTTTACCAAAGCATATCGGCGGTAGCGAAATCGTTGCTTGGGCCGCTATCCCTCTACCGTATGTATTGCTTTAAGCTCCTCGACAGGAGCGTCCACCCGGTAGTTCATAGTCTTGGTCAGATCGCCCATGAAGAAGCAAATGATGCAGGCCAGCGCTCCAAACGGTGCTGCAATCATGTACACGACCCTGATAGAGTCGGCGAGGGCATGCTTCTGTGCCGCTGAGCTAGCTGCCGCAATCTGTTCGGAGATATCAGCGACGTCGCCGAGCGCTGTTTCGTTGTTCGCTGAGAGCGCAGTCACTAGAGCTGAGACTGAGCTGGCAGGTAGGCCTGCCGCTAGTGCTGCCGCCGAAATGTACTGCGGGACAAGCCGTGTCGTCCGGTCCGTGTACGCAGCACTATATACTGCCGTGAAGACTGTAGCAGCTACGGCGCGACCTGAGGTTGTGACGGATGTTGCCGTAGCAATCAATGAGTGAGGCGCGGATAGCTGAACGCCTGCAATTATCAGGCACAGTGGAGCACCACAGCCAAAGCCAGCAAGCCCACATAGAACAGTGGCATTCACTCCCTGTCCAGGCTGTACGGTCGCCAACCCGATGATAGCACCAGTCCATAAGAGGTAGCCAACGAACATGGGCGTGCGGATCGATCTCAACCTCGTGGAAATCCAACCATAGGCCATGGTGGACACGGCGCAACCTATCCAGAAAGGTTCACCTCGGAGAACAAGTAAGAACGCATCTTGCTCGAAAAGACTGTCTGTCATGACCGGGTAGAAGATGATATATGAGAAGAGGAGTATGCCCTCAATCATGATGAGAACGACGCAAAGCGAGAAGGTGCGCCCTCGCCCATTGTCCCCTTGGAAGAGATCATGATGCAAGATCCCCGTGCGAGTGCCTTTCCATTCGTATATCCCGAACGCAATGCAAAGCACCACGCCAGCGATCAGGGTTCCGACGACGCGACTGCTATCCCATGGATAGAGACCACCTCCCAAGCTGATGCCGATCAAGAGTAGCGTCAGGCCAATGGTGAACAATGCAAAGCCGGTTAAGTCCAGACTCAGTATTTTCGCAGGTAGGCTCAGACCATCCAAGGAAGTGTGTCGTTGCGGGGGCCTGTACGCGAGCAGTATGCCGATTGCTGTCGCTCCCCAAAGCGCCATCTGAATCCAGTAGAACTTTCGCCATCCGTGTTCGGGATCAGCCCGCGTCAACGCACCAATTGACAATGGCGCACAGACTGCCGCGAGAGAAGAAGCGACATTCATGGCTCCTTGCACAACAGGTCTCCACCGCCGTGGCAATATCTCAGAAGGGACACAGTACGTTAACGGCACACTTGCGAAGCCGACTCCAATTAATGCTTGCGCAGTAACGAGTCTGCCAATGCTTCGACAACTAGGCGCAGTAGCGCTGCCGATGAACGATATGCAGCAAGATGAGACCAGCAATATTTTCCGGGCTTGAAAGACATCTGATGCAGAGGAGATCATTGGTCCGAGCACAGCTTGAACCAAAGATAGGGAATTCGGTATCCAGGTCTGCGACTTCGTAGCATCAATGGAGCGGCCGATGTGAGAGAGGACAGATGGAGGACCTTGCAAGGCGAAAACCTGGACAAAGTTGAGTAGGAACATTGCCGCAACTGCTATCCAGGTTCGGAAATGGAGCTCAGGCTTTTCCTCGATATTGTCATAGACAAGGTCGCCTCGGGAAGGAATGGCTATCTCAATTTGTTCTGCATGAGCGTGGTCTTGCTTGTTGCCGCCGCGCTGCTCAGCGCTGGGTGACATGTCCGGTTACTGGCAATAGTTCTGAACAGTAATGGATTAAGGGAAAGTTTTGAGGGTCGGCGTGGAAGCCTCGTGTTCTGGGTTGGCGACGAGGAGGGTAGGTAGTGCGGAATATAGCTTCCGCCTCCGCCGGCGCAGCTTACGCGCGACGAAGCTCCCTGCATAGGCACGAGAACGATGTTGGACCCAATTGGTATTTCGAGTAGCACGGAATGCCATAGAAGATGATTGGCAGAGATCCCCGAAAGATGAAACCGCACACATACCCCACGCAGCTTGCTTCGTACTCCATATTGAGCCATCGCAAATTTAACCATAGTTGAGTCAAACGCCCACCATGCGTACTATAGTTTACGCGTACAGTTCGTTTGATGCGCAGCACAGGCATTCACCGCAATGGGCGAGGCTAGCACAGGTGGTGCAACCGGCCAACCCGTTCCTACCTGCCGGGTTCCTTTCTTTTCTTTGGTCCGCCCGTATACCTACGCCGCGCTTCGGCTCCACCCACCCTGCTATCCAGTGAGCGTGTAGCGGACACGTTGTCCTGGGGCGATAGTGACGCCAACTCGGTCCACGGACAGATGTGATGCGGACTTCCGGTCGTGTGTGCGACATGACGCCCACTGTGCGTGTACACGACCACTGGTGGAGGCACATAGGATGTGTAATGACGAAGAGTTGCTTGCTATGAGACTTTCGTACGACACAGTCGACAGGATCGAGAAGTGTCGAAAGACCCAACTTGATGTGCACATGTCTGTTGTTTAGCATTAGAGCCCACACCAGTTCTCTGCCAGGAACCCAACGAGAGCGAGTTGATAGCGACAGCGTTGCGTTCGCATCCAGAAGAAATCAAATCGGCACTTCTGACCATTGAGTCCATCTAGCATACCAGCCTCGGACAGACGTTAAGGGACGAATGAAGTGACTGGCGAACCTAGTGGTCACGGTTTATCTGTTCGTACTCGCACGGAAAGTTCAGCTTCGATGATGTTAGAGTCATATAGAAGGATAATCGAAATTACATCTCACATACGACCATAGGACACTGAAAACTAGGCTTCCCGTCCGCTCAGCCATATATAAGCAGTGTACCGGCGGATTAGTAGTTGCGTGGGTGACCAGCAGCGAATACCCGCTGTTGTATGTTTTTTGTACACGTTGTGGGTCTGCACACGGGCGGTGTGTGCCTACGAGTAATGTAGCCGTGCACTACCAACATAGAAGACCTACCCTTGATACTATTCTACACGGCCTCGCTTCGCCTCACACAATCGGCATTAGAGATACCGCACTAGTCGTCCTGTCAAATAGATAATTATTACTCGACATATGCTTGGCATCAATTAGATACCGGTCAGTCTACGCGTCTTCTGCTACCAAAATGAAGATGTTCTGGTATAACTCAATAGATCTTGTCCGTTCGAAGCTGCTTGTTATTAGTAAATGCTCGTATCGGTCTGCTGTTAGTGCGCTGCTGGTTGGCGTGGGAGACGTTTCAGGAGGCCTCTAGAACTTGTCAACGATTTCTTCGTCAACACCTTCTACTGGTCACTCAATCTTGGATTGCGAAATCAGCCAACTTCTACTTAATAACACATAGTATTGAGTCAATGCCCGACTCTGTGTCATCATCGTGGAAGCTGTTAATATGCTTTGGGTCTCTTCGGCCGTAGGCGATGTCCTGACCAACTCCATCATTCCTGATACCGTAACATACGAGGTGGTGAGAACCTCATCCAATCTACTTGTTGTCGCGCCCTTTTCCTGGCTAGCAAGCGACTTGGCCGAGAAGTAAGCGCTCCTCGAGACTTGCTTTAGGCGGACAGACTATCCATGTGTTCGGGCAGTCGATCTGATGTCCCTTCAAGCTTACCCACTATCTAGGTTACTGTAGGTGAGTGACATGCGACAACGAGAAAGAGCTGGCTCGGCTTCAGAGTGTCAGGTCTTGGGAGAAGAAGTTGCGCTCATTTGTCTCGATATTTAAGATCACATTCAGCTTCTCTATAATCCAGGGATACTGAGCTGGCGACTCTGGCTTGTAGTGAGTTGGCCCTGTTATTCTCGGAGTGTCACAAATAGAGCCGCTGTCGTTGATTGGAAGCTGTGTGACCTTATCACATTGATTATACAGTAGCGGCCCTTAAGTACGTTGAGTACATTCGCCTGGTGTACCTAACTGCGCTTAAGCTCCCGGGTCCCTCACGCCCCATTTTCCCACCTCCTTCATAGCCTCTTCTCCACCCTCAGCGAGCCTTGCGTCCCCCAAGACACCCGCGATACATTTCCACCCGTCTCTTCCACCGCCCCACTTCAATACCTCGTTCTTGTACTTCTCACCGTTGGATCTCTCTACGCTGCCTTGCTTTCCTGGCTTTTGAAATACATCGCTCCATATCTTACCCGCGATGGCACGGTCGAAAAGGTAGCTGTAGTACGTTGCACCGTATCCGAAAAGATGCCCGAAAAAGCCTTGCCATGCGGTGCCAGCGGGCTCGGGAATGGAGGCGTTCGCATTGTAGATGTCGTGATAGACCTTTGAAGAGTCGAAGTTGGGGGATAGCGGAGTCTGGGAATGGTATGCTTGATCGAGCATAGCGAGGAGAATCTGGGCCTCTGTTTCTGCGGGCTGTGTCTTGATATCGATAGCTAGACGCTTTTCGAGAGCGGCCATGGGGAGGGGAGCGTCTGTTTCCCAATGGCGCGCGAACAGACCGAGGACGCTGGGGCAGGAAGCGAAGTGCTCCATTAGGACGGAGGGTAGTTCGGCGAAGTCAGTGGCGCATCGCGTGCCTGAGACGTTTTGGAGGGAGGTGCGTCCGAGGAAGGAGTGGAGTGCATGACCCATCTCGTGGAAGAGGGTGCGCACATCGTTGAAGTTGAGGAGGGTTGGACGGTTCTGTTGGCGGGAGAAATCGCATATCAACGCTATGGTAGGTAGCTGGAAGTACGAATTAGTCCCCTTGTTGTATGCGACGGCCATGCCGTCTGTGGCAGCTTCCACTGGCGAAGAGAATGAATGAGTCAGCTGGCTCATTTCTTCAACCTCCGAAGGGAGAATCTCTCGTGAGCAGCGCAATGTGAAGTGGGCTGGATTTGGAGTTTTGCCGTCGCGGGAAAAGAGGTCGCAGTACAGCACAGCAATGTGACCGTCCGTGTCAGAGACAACATCCAGTCGCCGCACTCCGTCTTCCCAAACTTCGCCGGGTTGTGTCTCGCGAGGGACAAGCCGGATGCCGTACAAGCGATCAAACAACCTCGACAGGCCTTGCATGACCGTCCCGACGGAAAAATAGGCTGACAAGAAATCCGGCGTCCGGATCTTGGTATCCATGCTCGAGAGCAGCTTAGATGTGTAGTAATATCTGTCCCAGGCATTGATTCTGTCCGGGGCATTGTCTAAGTGCGCGTCTGCTCGTTTGAGCTCTAGTAGCTCATCCAGCTCTTCGTTCACCTTGTGCTTGTTGTCCGCCATCAAAGCGTTTAGGAATTGATTGACAGCTTCAGGAGACTTGGCCATTTTGTTTTCCAAAGTCATGTGCGCAAAGGTTTCGTAGCCGGACAATTTGGCCAGCTCTGCTCTACTCTTCAACAAGCCCTCTAATCTCGAGATACTCGGCTTGTTTGCCGTTCGAACGGCCATGTAGATTTCTCTTCGAATTTCGGCGTCTTCCACATATCGTAGGGCCATCTGAGCCTCGTGGTTCATGGTCCCAATCTTGGTCTCTCCCCACTTTGTGAGCGCGCGTGCCATGTTCGGCTCCAGACCTTTCATCCTCTTGCTGTCAAACCGCAAATGGCTTGTTTCCGGACCCATTCTCTCGGTGAACTCGGTACCCACATGTGCAATCTCGCCACTGAGGTCTACGAAGCGCTGTCGCATGCCCTCTGGAAGGTTTATAGCACTTCTTGCAAAATCCTCGATTAATATGTTGGCAACGACACGCTCTTGCTCAGACCAACTGTCCCAGACCTCGGGCGTTGCGGCTGCCTTTTTGATCTGGTCGTTCAGTACCGTGGTGGTATTGAGCTGGTTCATGTACTGGAACATGATGGCATAGGCCTTGTGCGCTGCGATCTGTATCTGCCTGTTTGGATGCGTTCCCCTCACAAAATCGGCAAGATCGATGACCCTGCAGAGAAGGTCACTCAGTCTGTCTAGCTCCTTCACCATGCCTTTGTATTCTTCGACGCAGCTCGCGCTTGCCACCTTGTCTACTACAGCGTTGCATCTTTGGAGCGTGATGGTGACGAAGTCGACGAAGCCCTCGGGGCTCGAGAGATAGCGGTTTCCCACGATACCGGTTGGCGGGTTCTTCTTAGAAGCGCGTTGAAAGTCGTCCCAGAATCCTGGATTGTCGAATATCTTGCGCAGAGCATCATCGTCTTCTTTGGCTCGCGCGGTCGGGAGTCCGTATAGGTTCGAGGCTGGCAGCGGTGCAGAGTCGCGTGCGGCGGCGGCGGCGGCGGCGACGAAGTTGGGAGTTCCATCTGCGCTGTCTCTGCGATTGCTGCAGACAGCGCTGGCACACCCACGGCGCCGCTGATGGTCGCGCAAGCCGCTTCAGCATGCCGAATAGATGGGGAGGGAGCGCGCTGAAGGGAGCAAAGGTGGATGCTGCAATGCCTTCACATGGGTGTCCTCGGCAGGCGCAGGATCGGATACCATCGAAACCTTGCAGGGGTCCGGCGCAGTTTGGCTTGCTTTCTCCCAGACCTCAACACCACCCACGCAGCATCCCCAGCGCCATCCATTGCGCCTGCCCCGCACTCACAATGGCCTTTAGACCGCTGCTCCGGCAGGTAAGCTATTTGCTCTCCCTTTCTGCCTGCAAGCTGACCCTCGACAGCGCTTTGCTCCCGTCTGCGCCGCCGTTGCGGGCTCCGCCGCGCCTATCACGCTGGCTAACCAGCCCACCCACGACTCCCTCACAGATGCTGCGGTACGCGCTTGCATTCCACGGAGCTTTTTGATTGTCTGTCTCACACCTCCAGCTGAACCGGAAACCCATCTACGATGATGTGCCGCTGGACACGACCGCGCCCGCTCCCACGCAGCCTGCGGCACCCTCTACACCAGCCTCAGACGCTCCCTACCGCCCTACACCTACCGACCGCCTCGCCGTACAAATAGGGAAGGCGCGTCTCGCTCTCTACCAACAGTCCGCCCGCGCCGAGGACGGTGTCAACAATGCTTTGACCGAAACCCTCCGTCTGGAGCACTCGTTTACCTCCACCATTCGCTCCCCTGGCGCCACCGAAGGAGTCTGGCGAGAGAGTATTCCCGGGTGTATTATACGTCTTGGTCGCAAGCATGGCCGGAAGCATAGTGACACGTAATCGCAATATCCTCCTGCGAGCTACCGTACCGGCCGCCATTGGCATCGGTGCTGCATACGCCGTGCTGCCCATCACAATGAAGAACGTAGGCGACCTGGCATGGAAGTATGAGGAGAGGTATCCGGTATTGGCCGACGCCCACTTGCGGACTAAAGAGCGCCTTGCTCGCTTTTGGGAGACCGGAAAGGCACATTCAGCCATGTCCGTCGGCATGATCCAGGACAAGGTTGCCGAGACACGGTCGAACATGGAGGATTGGGTCAAGAAGGGGAGGTAAAGCTCGTCAGGTAGTAGAGTAAGTCTCAAAAGCCTGTTGGACCTTGTAACCGACTGTATCAGTACCATAGATGCGAGGATAGCCTGGATCTGCAATGAAACACCGTGAATTCCCTTTGTTATGCAATCTCCTCGAGGCCCAATTCCAACATACCTGAATTTGAAGATGCGCCACGTTCGTGTAGCGGCCATATCTGGTTGAATAGGTTGCTTGCATGACTTGGTATCATCAATTTTGCGTCTGTTGCCAGCTAGATCAGCGCACACATTAGTCGATATCAATCGATGACATGCCAGAGGCGAAAAAGGAAGATAGTCAGTTTAAATTTGCTCCGTTTTAAGTGTGAAATTTGTTTCTGATTGGCAACCCTTTTCTGCAATATCAAGGCTTCTTTGTATCTTTGAATGTCATCACTGGGGAAGCGAACAGACAAGTTGTCTTTTCGAATGTCGCACACTTTGTTCCCTTAATAGCGAAGCGCCTTGCACTTGAGATGCATATAGCGCTAAATAGCGGATCATGGTGTACATCTGCCGTCGGACCGCTCCTACCTTCGCCGCACATAAGCAACTGCACCTTCACTCGTCCACCGCAGCAGTCAGCGATGCGTCCCTTCATCTCTCGCTCGATGATTGCGACACAATACGGCACATGCTTCATGACAGAGCTACAAAACACCCTTAAAGCACTCGCTACGATATTGTGCGGACCATCTTCCCAGGCGCAATACCCCAGCACTCGCAAGACGCCTTTCACAACCACTTCCAACCTCCCGTGGCAGCTGCACGGTGCGCGTGCCATGGCGACCGATCAGCTGGTAGCAACAGTGGATGAAGTCTCCATTGGCAGATCGCATGCGTTAGCGTAAGCTCTCGCCTTCAATGAACCCGCTTATATTCACAAGAAGCCCAGCCTTCGAGACAAGATATATCAAGATCCTCGTAAGTCAAGATATGGTAGTCTCTCTTGTGTGCTGACAATTCGATCGAGGCTCAGCAAAGACATGCTGAGCGCCAAGTTCGACAATGGCGACCCAGAGAGATCTGGACATTACGCCAACGTCATCTACACCAGCAAGACTCCTGGCCTTCATGGCCTTCAGCTTTAACAAGAGAAGGACAGGAACACAGATATATTGTTCCTTGGAATAGAAAGCGCTCTGTCGCCTCTATATGCTTGACGAGAAGCTGCAGACTTTCGAAGCCCATGAGTAGCCGGTCAACGCCATGGATTTCCTCGCGACGGCGCGCGTAAGATGACTGTACATCACCCGCCAGGTTTAACGTCGAAGCAATCGACATCGTGTACGAGGGCACACCGGGTCCATGTCGTGGTAGAGTACTTGGTGGGATGGCGACCCGGGAGACCTTTACGGACCATACGAAACAGGTGGGGATGGCTATCGTCGAGGGTTTCTTCGGGTCTGGCGGCGGACGCGCTGCGGTTCAGACGACCACCCGAATCAGGCCAGCCCTAACGTGATGCCCGTATACTTCACTGGCTATCATCATGAGGAGGAGGTAATTAATGTGTTCCTTGACGTTGTAGTTTCGCACCACCAAGCAAGGTAAGCGTCAAACAAGTATAACAAGCACAGCGAGTCTCTAGGAGCAACTTTGAGGTCCGGTAACTTAGTGGCCATGTTCGAGTTCCTCTGGAGATATCAAAATCGTTGTTAGATAGAAGATACTCGGACAATGATACATGTATCGACAGGGGTTTGTAAGAGGGCCGTGATGACTATCGTGGCTCATTTGGACAATTTTTCTTCTAAGTGGATTGGAACCTTTGACATAACGGAGCCAGGGATGTGGTTGTGGCACACACTTGCAGTCGGGGACCTGTATGGGCCATGAAGATTTGGGTTTGTTAGCTTCGCCTGCAAAAATTCATTGGTCCCGTTGCGACATTACGACAGCTCATCCGAGCATCTGCAAAGTTGCTTGACCCTTTTTTGATGGCACTGACATTCTCTTGTCCCCGTCCAGACTACTAAGCTTTGGTGCGTGGCGACCTCACTGTAGCTCTTTGACACGTCGACGCTTTACCACGCTATGCCACATAAGTCAGCAGCCCCGCTTACCCCACCTGGTTCCATTTGCAACAGAGATCGCTCGAATTCCGCACGTAGAGTTCTTTTTGCAATCTATATATATGGTATAATTTCAAAAAAGCGATATTGATCTGCAAAAAGCAACGATCGTTTGGTCTGCTGGTTTGTCAGCAGCTATCTTGGCCGAGGCAAGTCCACTGCTGTCTTCTTATTTGCCACAATCACTAACATTCTAGCAGTGGTCTAAGGCGGTAGATTTAAGATTGCTCAAATCTCTACTGGGGAAACCCGCGTGCGTTCGAACCGCACAGATAGCAACATCTTTTTGCTGATGATAACGAGTTCGAAGTGCTCCCTGCTGTCGGTCTCTTCCATCTCGAGGTCTTTTTTGCGCCCCTTAGAATTATGTTATTGTGAACGCTACGTGTGTAGGCGATGGACGGAGTAAGACGCGATATATTCATGGGGCTTGTACCACCCATGCAATATGTCAATCAGTCAACGCGGTATTGAGGTACGTACTTGCCTGTCACTGCGTATGCAGAATTACCCATCTACTTCGGAGAATCATGCCTTCTAACTCTTCCGATTTAATCAGCAGACAATGTGGCCGATCACCTTATACTCGACTGCATTCAAGAACGTGCAACGCACACGGATAAGTCATAATAAATTTCTAACGGCACTCTGCCTCTCACATAATCTTGAAAGTTGCCCATAAGCTTGCTGAAAAAGCATCAATGCGTCAGGTCTTAATCAGGTTGAGTAGAGCCATAATGCGTCTCCAAAGATTGAATACGGTATGGCCGACTTTCACGTTTACGCAAGAGCCTGCATCCGCAGTGGAATTGGTATGGAGGAATGTGGCACCTGGCAGCAATCTTGCTCGTAGAGATCACACCTGCACTTTAGGCGCCATTTCCAATGTCGTTTGATGGTGAAGGTGCGAAATGCACGAAAGGTACAAGTGACGCGGCTCCAGGGCCATTGACGCTTCAATGTTACATAAGCAGGCTTGGCAAGGTCACATTGGATATCTCACATGCAAACTCTTGTGACTTCCATCGATGTCAGCGATGTGATGATCTACTCAACACGGAGCTTCGGCACCGCGTCACGCACTCTCTCACACCGTGTATCTTGCTTACTAGAACACAGACCAGCATGGTGCCCGGCGCGATCCTACCGTTCGACCGCGACAGCCTACCGAAAGATTGATTTCGCACAGAAACAGGATCCTGAAGTGGAGGTAACAACGAAGGGAGAGAACAATCCGGAAACACAGAAGGCATACCAAAAGGGCACAAAGAAACATGCGACCAAGACATCGTCCCTGCGGCGGGTTGCTGTTGAGGCACAACGGTCGAGACAGGGCTTCGTGAAGGGCCGAGGAAGCAAGCGCTTCGTGGACCCGCATGTTGACACAAAGGTAAGGGACGATTACACTAGGGAGCAAGGAATTCCAATCGCATTCTGACTATGCATGCAGACTGTCACGGCGTACTGCGCGGCGGAAACCTACAACATATCCACGGCGGCTCGCTTGGTCAAAGCTCAAGGCTATGAGCTCGACCCTCTACAAACCGGCTTATATCCGCAAGTCATCCATGTCCAAAGACGGGAACGACCCTCGGAAGTAAAGGACTCGCAAGAGGGCGACATCTTCATCTTTCCATCGGGAACGATGGTCACTTGGAATGTGAGAGAACGCGAGGCACTGCATCTGGTGAATAGGGTTCTGCCTGCTGCAGCAGACTGTCCACACCTGGATTTGCTGGAGACCGAGGACTTGGAATACCTTGAAGATCCAACAAGGGAATCGAGTGAGGTCGTTGGTGACACAATCATTCTGGGCACAAAAGCCGAACACGGCGGCCAAGATGCACACAAGGAACCCCTTGTGGAGGACACGGAGCAACGTCACGAGATCGACACTGTCCTTGCCAAGATTGCTTTCTCGTCCGGTCTTGCTCGCTCCACCAAACTCGCTATTCTGGAAACGCTTCTGAGCTCTTACCAGGACTCCACACGCGATATTCCCATTATGCTGGCCAAGGGTAATACCAAGACGTTGGGCAGGAAAAACGTCTCCTTCACACGCTCCTTCATCCTCCGCAAAACAGGCGAACTCCTCAATATCCGTGCACAACTTAACCTGTACTCGGAGCTTACCGACTCGATGCCTGATATCTTTTGGGATAGCCGACACGAGCTAGGGCTAGGAGAGTACTATGATCAAGTGGGACGCGCATTGGACGTGGGTGTGCGCATCAGAGTGTTGAACGAGAAGATCGGCTTCGCGCAAGAGATCGCAAGCGTTCTGCGGGAGTCGCTGAGCGAGAAGCACGGCTTGAGGCTAGAATGGGCAATTATTGCTCTGATCGCGGTTGAGGTGGTATTGGAGTTCTACCGTCATTGGACAGATGCGGAGGAAAGGAAGGACCCTAGAAGCACGGAGTCGCTGCTACGGCAATATCTCATAAGGATAGGTGATGGTCCAAAAAGAGATATTACTTAGTTTAGATACCCCGCTCAATAGAATCTAGATTTTCCAGTTCACAGCATGGAGACGGACGTTTGCCTGCATGAGACTCCGATTCAAGGCGTACATAACGTTCTCATAATCCGTTACCGCGGCAGTCGCGGGCCACGCCGGCTCCATTTGCTGCAAGGAAACGAAATTGAAGTCGAAGGCAGCTTCGTAACGCCTGCGCGGGTCCCCAGGTACTGGCCGTTTGTCAAGTTGAACTCGGCGCAGTCTTAAATTCTCGTTTGTCCCTGCCCAAAACTCAATTGCAGTTCTGTCTCGCAGCGACGTACAGGAGGGTCATCGGTGAAAAAAAAAAACCTATTGTCCCGTGCCAGACTCGAACTGGCGGCCTTGGGATGTCTGCTACTTCGAGCAGTCATAGTAATAGAGCTATGAGACCCACGTGATAACCAACTACACCAACGAGACGTTAAGAAAACCTACGAAGTCAAGGTTATTCTCGTTTGATGACAAATCCGCAAATTAGCATATTCATGTAGGACATCGAAACAGCGGAAAGATGGGCCAGCGAAAACAGGGCCTCAAACTTTAGCGTCGTTGGTGGTCTCGAGGACGAGTCAACTCTCGGCCCAAGATTGATATCAAGTGGGGTATTGCAAGCGCCAAGCTACAAAGGATACGCAACCCTACCCTCGGTTATTTTGACAGCAATCGAACGTTTCAACGAAATCAGAGAAGCGCGGTCGCCACGTATCCTTTCACTGGTCATTAGTAAAGTCAACCACAAGCTACATGACTGCACACATCAAAGGCGCGCAACTAAGCAAACTCAAGCACGTCGCTCGGTGGTGCGAGACTGGCATCTCTCGCTGACTGATGACCATTTGAGGATTAAAAACGTCCAAGTACCCGGAAGCAGAACTGAAAAGCCCTGCGCATAAAGGGCTGTGCTGTTTAGTCGGGCAACCCGGCGTCTTCATTAGTTGATGTGTCGGGTAGGGTCGGTGTAGTCGAGCATGTATGGCCGCATCATGGCTGAGGGCGCTTCATGGCTCAACATATGTCCAAGATAGAAGTTCCAAACAGTCGTTGTTCAATATGGATGTTCTAAAGAGTCTCGTGGTCAATAATGTTACATAGTCTCGGCACGAGTACGACCGACAATACCTATTATAACACGATATACACACAAGTCTACAGATACCGTTAACAACCAGGCTTTTCATGCAATATGTGAGCGCAAGCTTTATGCGATGACTCCAAACGCCTCGCCAAGATTTGATCAAAGAGGCGTTATGTTGAAACACAGCAGGCAAGCCCTGCAAGCTCAATCTTACGCAGAATCTTGACTGCTTCCCTTTTGGCCTCAAATCATGGACCAAGTCTTTGGCCAACGTCTGGACTTCTTGGTTCCCTTGCCACAGACCCTAAGGGCACCGCCGTAGGCAATACACCGTAGCGTCCGTAGGTCTTCTGGTCTACGCTCACATAGTGAGGTAGCCTGCCCAGTAGGTTCAACTTGGTTTCAACCCATCGCAAAATCTTTTCGTGAGGGACGAGGAACTTTATGTAGCCGGTTGCCCAGACATACCCAATTGCGGCACCGCAGAGGTGGCCGAGGAGGGAAACATTAGGGACAAGGAACGAGGTCATGAGGACGAGAATCAGGGGCGTCGTCCAAGTGGGGATTTTGTACGGGCCGATGCTGTATGAGTGTCAGCAAGTGCAGGGTCGTGTCAATGGCTGAGGGAGTTCGGCACACCTAAAGTTGGGGTTCGCCTTTTGTGTCTTCATAGCCTCGGACGCGAGGAGTAGGAAAACCCATACACTGTAATGTGCGCAGTCAGCATCCAAATATCGGAGAAGGGAATGCTTGCAGCGTGCCTCGACCCCATTACTGCCGTATTGCCCCTCAATATGAACTTCTCCAACAAAAGATACAAGCCGCCCGGCAACAGACCAAAAGCTACCGTCTTGTCAACCATGGCATCCTCGACAGTGTCGATGGGCAGCCTTACGTCCGGTGAACAGGGATAATGTAACGATGGTACCGAATTCGGCTTCGAAGCGCTCAAGGAGAGGCGTGATGGCGAAGACGTCGAAGAACATGTGGAAGAAGCCAAAATGGGTGAGAGGAAATAGATTGAGCCGGTGCACTATAGAGATACCGTCAGCTCAAAGTGTTCTTAAAGAAGTCCAAATAAACATATCCACAGGTATCCCGCCTTCGCCTCAGCTCTTCAAGGGTATTCCGTAGTCCCAAGCGTTGCATCCGCGCTCTTCCCACAGGAACGGAACGAATCTCCATGTCGGACGAGCGGAACCATTTCGAACAGAGAATCACATACTCTGTGTCAAGTCGAACTTGTCAGGGCTCAAAGACCCAAGCTCTCTCAGCCAAGGGAACGGTATCGCCGCAATCCATAGTCCTACTATCGCCGTGACCAGTAACCGCGTCGCGAGTGGTAACCGGAAGATGTACGAGCGCAACCGCAGCGGATTAAACTGCGGGAGGGATGGCATCGCGGGGGTCGAAAAAGGACGTGAGCAAGAGACAAGGAAAGTGTTCAGCAATGGACGCGACTCGAGATCGGCCGCGTGAGAAGAAGTCAGGGTCGGAGGTGTGCTAACGCCGACGTTCAGAGAACTGGCAACATTTGAACACAGCAAGCAGGTAAGCTTCGACACACCACCAACAGGGTGAGGCGCGGGCACAATGGCCCTGCTAGGTGGGCAGCACTTCCAACCCTGCAGGATGCATGCTGACATCGAACTTTAGCTACGCTCCTTGCGCTTCGAAACGATGCCCGCATTCTTAAGATTCCCCCGTACCTCTCCGCCTTCCTCATACTTATCGGCGTCGCATGGCTGCTCGTCCTCCCGCTGGACGAATACTCGCGCAATACCTATGTCTCTGAGAATGCGCTTCTGCCGGGTCAGGTGCACACGTACTTTACGGGCAGCGAACACGACGTGTTCAGGGCTTATAGACATGAGGTTGCGGGCCTGGTGGACCTTCCGGCACAGCAGTATGCATCCTCTGCACGCGCCTGTGGAAGGAGCAAAAGCTGATCCGTGATTAGGCGAAGCGACAAGCTGAGCGAGCTGCTCCGGGCTTCCAATCTCAAGGTTGCGACGCAGAAGTACACATATACCCCATCCGGCCGCAACATCTCCGATGAGAATGTCTATGCCGTGCTGCAGGGCCCCCGCGCCGATGCTACAGAAGCCATTGTACTCATGGCGTCACTTAAGACCATGGATGGCGAGCACAACTATTCCGGCGTCGCGCTGGTCCTCGCGCTCGCCCGCTACTTCAAGAGATGGAGCTTGTGGAGCAAAGATATCATTTTCCTGATTTCCGGAGACAGCACGAGCGGACCGCAGGCCTGGGTTGACGCATACCATGATGCACATGATCCGACTACGATTGAGAGCCTCGCCCTGAAGAGTGGTGCACTCCAGGGTGCCGTTGGTGTCGAATATCCTGCGGGGCCGTGGGGCCACAGATATGACAAGCTACATATTGTATACGACGGCACGAATGGACAGCTTCCCAACCTCGACCTCTTCAATACCGCCGTTAATATCGCCTCCGGTCAGATGGGCATAGGCTGCACCCTCCAGCGCATGTGGCATCACGGCAACTCATATCCAGAGCGCTTGCAGACGATGCTACGAGGCATGCTCTCTCAAGGGCTTGGACATGCCACCGGACCGCATAGTGCATTCATACCATACCATGTTGATGCTATCACACTTGTCACTGTGGGTGACGGATGGCATGACGAGATGGGCTTGGGGCGCACCGTGGAGAGCTTATTCAGGAGTCTCAACAACTTGCTTGAGCACCTGCACCAAAGCTTCTTCTTCTACCTATTGCTCGAAGCTAAGCGCTTCGTCAGTATAGGGACGTATCTTCCGTCTGCTATGTTGATTGCTGCCAACTTCAGCATCACCGCCATCGCGCTTTGGGTTCGTAGTGGACGCCCACAGGAGCCCACACCGAACCCCGCTGCTACGAAGCCCGTCCCCAGATCTGCTTCTCAGGACGCTGCCACGGAATCGGACCATAAGAGAAAGGAACAGGAACAATCGCAGCAAGAAGATGAGAGGAAAGCAGTCGAACACTCTACTGTAATAGCAATCAAGGACGGCGCCACCGCCATAATTCCTACCGAAGTCTTACAAATCTCTGAGCGCCCGCTCTTCCTGCCAACAGCCTTTGTCATAATTGCTCACTTTCTGGGCCTTATCCCACTCGCCGCCTTCAATCACATTCCAGTCGAAGAGCTTCGGTCCTCCTTCCTCCTCGCCGCAAATCTGACCACCCTCCTGCCTCTCGCAACCGCCTACTTCCTCTCCCAATTCAACCGACCCACACATCAAGAGTCTACCTTGATTCACTGTTTCAGCCTGCTCTTCCTTGGCATGTACCTCTCTGCTCTCGCCACACTGAACTTTAGTCAGAGCCTGATAGTCGGCTTGTTGACTGCCCCACTAAGTTTTGTGCGAAGGGGCAAGGGAGGGTTGGTCACTGCGCTGCAGTTTGCGCTACTGGTAGCTATCAACCCGGTCATGGTGGTGAATAGTGCAACATATTTGAGTAAGGTTGAGTTGTTGGATGTGTTAGTTAAAGCAGCAGAGGGATGGCACATCTGGGGGATGTGGACCCAGGTCGTGGTATGGCTTGTTTGGTGGCCTGCGTGGTTTTGTGGCAGTGTCGTCGTTGCATTGGGATTGTTCTGAGGGGCTGAGTGGCATCGAGATATGAGCATTGAGAGTTTGCCGCACAAACGTCAGGCATCCAATTATGATACCACATAGAGCATCAGTGAATTGTCGAACGGTCATAAGGGGGTTGTCGGTTCATGAGCTCATTGATGGGCGCTGGCGCATTTGGCCGGCCATGATCTATGATACATTTATCGTGATAGAGTGCGTTGAGCATACTTACCTCATATCGTATGCTACACAACTCTCGTCTTTCTAGCAGGTTATTAGGTCTTGCCATGCCTGCCTCGCTCAGGCGGCCCACACGTCTTTACCAACCCCCTCGATCCAGTTACCGAGGTGGTTGACGCTCGCATCCCATTCCTTCAATCGCCCCCTCATGTTCTGGATCTGCGTCATATCCAACACCTTTGGCTGCACCCAGTTGATCCTCGCAATCTCCGCTACCTGGTCAATCGTTCCCTTGAGTAGCCCCAAGCTCAGCGCCTTCATGATCAAATGCTCAATCTCATTCGGTGATACCTTGGTCTCTTCTGAGATGGTCTGGAACGTCATCGCGCGGTCGTGGGGTGGTCTTCGGAACACCGTCTCCGTCAGTGCAGATAACGATATCTTCTGGTACAGGAAGGTCTGGTGCTCCTTAAGCAGTGGTACCTTCGAGATGTTGCCAGCGAGGACGTCGTATGCGGTCAAGTCGCCGCGGTTGAATGCGAAAAGCAAGTCGCGGAGCCATGCGTGCGGAGTGTTGACGAGAGAGTCGAGTATGGGGTGGAGGAGAAGTTCGCCAAAGTTGTAGATGGAGTCGGAGACGAGGGCAGCGATGCTGAGGTCATAGGCGCGCGACTGCCGTTCGCGGAGATCGAGGTCGGCGAGGTCAACACAGGCGAGGTAGAGGAGGGCATTCTTGTAGTACGCGGCAAACTCGTGCTTAGCCTGATCAATGTTAACACGGCTCCAATAACGATATAGCGGGGCATGATACCTTGTAGTATTCGGCGCTCGTCTTGTAGAATGAAGCATGCACGGCTGTCTCTACTGAGTCGAAGCCTTCTAATATCTGCTCACTCTCGTCCAGCTTCTTCCTTGCACCCTCATCGTCGCCTGTCCGCAACTGGATGCTCGCAGCAGCCACTGTGGCGTAGACGTAGGCGTCTTGTGAAGCGGGCTTGTTGACCTGCTTGGCGATGTCGGAAACGAAGTTGAGGCGCTCAGTGTCATCTGCAGTCTTCAGCGGATGTTCATAGACTCACAATACAGTATATGCCTACCCTTGAACTGTGATGCCGCCTTCAAGCCAAGCTGCACGAGCTTGAGCTGGTTGATCTTCTTCGCGAAGCTCTTGATGAAGGTCTCAAAGAGTGGTATCCGCTGCTGTGCACTCGCTGCATGGTCAAAGTACTCGACCAGCTTGTCCGTCAGCTCGTGCCACAATTTGCGCTCCCAGTAGTCCTCGAATTGAATGAAGTATTCCTGTAGCTCGTCGGGCGCCTGGTCGCGCAGATCGCCGAGCAGGTTCGGGATTGTGTCTGTGTCCATCGCCATGGCTGGCAGTTCGCGGGCAGGCGGTGGTTCGAGAGCAGGTCGTCACTATTCGAAGATCGGGCACGGGGATAGCGTTGTGATAGGTGCGTGGGGCGAGAGTGTGCTCTGTACGGAGCAGTCGCGGCGGGATGGTGTTTGGTCTTGCCAAGACCGCAGTCCGAGCTTGAACTTCAACCTCAACTCGTCGACATGCTCCACCTTCGACAGCCATTGAACGCCGCAACAATGGCCTCGCCCCTCCGCTGTGCGCGCTCTGGAGCCGCATTCACGGCCCAGATTCCCTCGACCATGCGCGCCGCGAATCTGCCTACCGTTTGCCGCCGATATTTAAACCAAGATGTCAGAATCACCCGGACCGGCAAGCCTATCCTGACCGTGGCAGGCGGCAGGTACGTATCTTGTTCTCTGGTTCTTGGTCACATGTTAATAGGAACTACAGATCTTCCCTTGGAGGTATCCTTTGGCCCTACACGACCCCAATCCCCCGCTCACGCATGACCAGGTTATACCGCGACTGTGTTTGGAGCAACTGGCTTTCTGGGACGCTACATTGTGAATCGCCTCGGTGTGTCAAAACCAGCCAACTATGGGATCTTGGATACTGATAGTGGGGGACATAGCGCGCTCGGGATGCACTGTCATTGTGCCCTTCCGCGAGGAGATGGCGAAGCGACATCTCAAGGTTGCCGGTGATCTCGGCAGGGTGGTGTTCTTGGTATGTGTGCATGACGTAGGCATATGGTCCAAAAATCTGACTGTGGTAGGAAATGGACTTGCGCAACACACAATCCCTGGAGGAGTCCGTTCGACACTCTGACATTGTCTACAACCTGATTGGCCGTGACTACCCTACCAAGTCAGTGTCACTATATAAGCCTATCAAAGGCATCGCTGACATTAGATAGGAATTTTGACTTGGAAGATGTACACGTGGAGGGCACGGAACGCATCGTGGAGGCTGTCGCCAAGTACGATATTGACCGATATGTGCACGTTTCTTCGCACAGCGCCAGCCTCGACTCCCCATCCGAGTTCTACCGCACCAAGGCCCAAGGCGAACAAGTAGCCCGGAACATCTACCCCGAAACTACGATCGTACGGCCCGCGCCTATGTTCGGTTTTGAGGATCGTCTTCTGAACCGTCTCGCTGGCGCAACTAACGTCTTGACTTCGAACTGGATGCAAGAGTATCTCTACCCCACGCACGTCATCGACGTTGGCATGGCCTTGGAGAAAATGCTGCATGACGACACCACCGCCGCCGAGACTTTCGAGCTCTATGGCCCGACCGGTTACACCATGGCCGAAATCAATGAGCTCGTTGGCAACGAAATTATCAAGAACAGGCGTCACGTCAACGTTCCTAGGAGACTACTCAAGCCCATTGCTGCTGCGCTCAACAAGTACATCTGGTGGCCTACCATTTCAGCGGACGAGGTCGAGCGAGAGTTTATTGACCAGACTATCGACCCTAAGGCCAAAACATACAAGGATCTCGACATCGAGCCCGTAGACCTAAAGAGCGTGCTCTACGAGTACCTGGTATGTGCAACAACAAAGATGATGTGGGAAAGATCAGTGACTAATTCGACTACAGAAAGGATATCGAAGCCCATCATACTACGACCTTCCACCCATGACGGAGCGGGAGAAGCGAGAAGAGAAGAAGTATCTCCATGTCATCGACGACCAATAGTCGTAGTTTTGGGCGCCAAGGAAAGAGTTGTGTACATATCTGGATCAGTGTATCTCCCCCAGGCTAGGTCTGTAGAATCATCGTCATTTTCGTTTGTTTGAGCACTGCGTAAGCTTCACAACGTCCCACTTAGTGTCTTCGCTACCATTTAATATGTTATGGAAACCCCAGAGTCCGCTGTTTCAATCCGAACTCTGACTCATTACCATATCAAAGGTCGCGGAAAATTCTGTCATTCCGAACAGTTCGAATAGAGCAATAGCCGCAGTCCGCCAAGATGCACATGGCCGAGATCAAAACTGCGCTAGCCAACCACAGACGATTCATTTAAGCCGTCATTGGCCCCGTAACGATGTTACCGCAGCGTATCTTGACCCTTCCAAAGCTCCTCGAGTCCTTCTCCGTTGGCAGACTGGCCGGGTTGCCGATCATGCTGCAAGTCCATGTTCAAAACACACCACTGGTCGGTTATACTATTTGACACGTGAGCAAGCTTTGTTTATAGAGCCTCCTCGGTCCAAGAGCGCGTGCGGTGCGCGAGTGTAAAGGCCAGACCAGGCGTCGGCGGTCCGCAACTGGACTTGGGAGGCGCTAAAGGATCATCGTCGTCGATGTCCATGCCTGTTTGGCCTTCTTCTCCCCACTCCTGCTCTAGCTCCTGTTGGAGTGCATATGAGTCAAAGGCATCAGTCATGTCATCCTCGCTGATCTTGATATCGTCGTAGTCGCCCTCGTCTTCAGACATGTCTGAGCTCATTATGCAATCCTCATCCTCATCCCTATCCCTGACCGCGTCTTCGTAATCCTCGTCGTCGTCCTCGTCCTCAACTTCGTCACCCTTAGCAGTGTGAGTACCAAAATATCTGTTGGTCGGACGGCGAGCTCGCTTGCGCATCGAACACTGTGAATGTGATACCATAGTAAATTCGAGTGAGCGCTAGCGAAGTAAAGGTGAAAGGTTGTTTATCATGGATACATCTAGTGCAATCTTGATCTTTCGACATCTGTATATCCAAATAAGACGCCACTCTGCGAATTTTGGAGACAGATCTGTCAGGACGTGGTGTGCTCGAGCTGTTCGAAGAAGGCCGAACAGTGGGAAGGGAGAATATGCGGTGACTGGTTATGTCTGGCGAGATTTGGTGAGTCCAATCAGGACCTACTTTGGGGTCGAGTAGCGATTAGGGGATGATTTTGCATCGGAGTCTCTAGGTCAAGACGATAAGCAAGAGCTAGACGAATGGGGATCTTTCATAGATTTTGGAGCGGGTGGTGTAATTGCCACATGCAATGCGCATGAGGTTCACTACCTTCTCGCGCACTTACATTTCTATTGATGTTCCCTCGTGGATGCAGCTTCCTCAGTCGACTTGTCGCCATCAATAATCAAATACGGGTCCGCATCATGTGCCCACGGGCAATCCTTCTTCTGTGGCTTCGCCCCGCACTCGGAACCAATGCTGGAACGAGATCCTCGAGGAACTCAGGGTATATGTCGGATCGAACGCTAGGATCAGCGATCCACCATCATTTTTCGAGCTGGCTAACCCTGGCTCGTGCGCTAATATATGATGGCAATGGCGCGACCACTGGGGAAATGTCTTTCTTTAACCACGTGATATCGTATCGCAGTTAAAAGCGGACTTCAACACTTTATGTCTTCCATACGCTCTCCGAGGCCATAGCAAAGCGCGAGTTGCTCCGTATTCAAAGTTATCTTTTCTTTGTTAGTCTGCACATGCGGTTTGCTCTTTTCCTCCAGGGAAACCCACCGAGTTTTTTTCTGTGCGGCAATCTTGCGAGTGTTGATCCACACTACATAGTGTTTGACGAGTGAAAGATCTTCATCTGTCAAACCGATTTGTTTCTGAAGTGTGGTTTCTCAATCCGAGAAGAAATCCGACACAATAGTCCTGGCTATAGTCCCGGACGATGCTCTTTCTCTGTCGATATGTTTGATCGTAAACTTGTACCTGTGCCAATAGGCAAGGAGGAGACGCAGCCAGATGCAGTGTTTCCATTAACGAGGGTTGGAATGGAGGCTTTGCTGGGGCATTCCTCGTGTGCACAGAACCACACGTGTCGCCCTTGTGGCGACAAGGTTCTATAGGACGGTATCGCATAGAGATAGTATCGGTTATGGCCGCCCTAGCAGATGTGGAAGTGGACCTCGAGGAGCAAGGACAGTTGCGGAATGCACAGGTCGGCGCAATAAATAGGAGAGCGGGCGATGTCTGGTGCAGCAGCCCGAGACAGACGCGCGTGTCAGTCCGACGGCAAGATGTTGGTAGGTCGGGCAGAATGGTGAAATTGGTGTCGAGGTGCAAGCAAAAGATTGACCTGTTGTAGGGTGCACGTACCGTCCTCGGTCTCCTCCTTTCCTCAATCGTCGTCTGCGTACAGATTCCACCGCCGGACTCATGCTCGTGGTGCGCGAGCATAGACGGAGTAGTCGCGACGCTGCAGCAGCAGATCGCCCAGCTGAGGGCATGGTTGGTGAGTTGCTCCATGTTCTGCGCGACGCTTCCTGAGCTACCGGCACAGCTCCTCCAGGGCCACAATGATTCCACATGACGATGAAGGGTGTGGCACGAATAACTCTGGCTACCCGAGGCCCAAGCAGCGAATGAAGGCCATCTGCAGCGCTTGTCGGTTACAAGTCGTATCTGGCCAGCCTGCTGAGCGTGTTGCTCAATGTAGCCGGTGACGTAGAGCGTGGCGCAGCTTCCAGCCACGCACAGCGTTCCTGGCAATCAACACGTCGAGCTCTCTATGCACTTTATCAATTTCCTGTTGTTCTGCTTGTCCTACGTACTGACTGTTCTTGAGACTTTGCATCCCTCAGAAGACCCGTTTAGTATCGACGTCTCGAAAGCTGGTCTAACACAAGGCGGTCCTCCTGCGTCAACGCCTCGAGCCTCGAGCACCTTTGGTAGCCCTGGTGTAAGTAGGACACGCAACCTTTCTGGTAGCAGATGCAATACACGAGCTTGAATTCGAGCATACTTCTCATACCTTGTGATTGCTGACTTGAGCCTCCAGCCACCCACCCACCAGACGCCTCTGATCCCTCTCACGCCCGCCAAAGATTCAATAGGCACTCCCAAGGACCCCATACTACCTCGGCCAACGACAGTCATGGGTGGTGGCGAAGGATACCGAACTGTGGCGTACTTCGTCAACTGGGGCATCTACGGCCGCAAATACTTCCCTCACACCGTCCCTGCCGATAAATTGACCCATGTCCTGTATTCCTTTGGTGACAATCGCGAAGACGGTGAGGTCATTCTGACCGACCAATGGTCTGACATCCAAATCCACTATGAAGGAGACTCCTGGAACGACCAAGGCAACAACCTTTACGGCAATCTCAAGCAGCTCTACCTGCTCAAGAAAAAGAACCGCAACCTGAAGGTCCTACTTTCAATTGGCGGTTGGACCTATGCCCACGAGCAGAAGCATTTCGATACGCCTGCTTCGACGCCCCAGGGTCGCAAAAAGTTCGCGGATAGCTGTGTCCAATTAATCAAGGATCTGGGATTTGATGGCATTGATATCGATTGGGAGTATCCAAGAGATCAAGACCAGGGACATCAGTTGTTGTTGCTGCTCCAGGCCATACGCTCGGCTATGGATGCGTATGCTAGCAAGCTTGAGGGCGAGACCGGGACGAAGCCGCAATTCGTGCTGACCATTGCTGCACCGGCTGGCGCCGACAACTACAACAACATACCCCTTGGGGCCATAGCTCAGGTGCTCGACTTTATCAACCTGATGGTGAGCTTACTTCATCGTCATGATGTGTACTATTCCTTGTACAATGCTAATGTGGACCAAGGCATATGACTACTCAGGCAGCTGGGACAAAGCTGCCGGCCACCAAGCCAACCTTTTCCCGTCCACATCTGTTCCTGCATGTACTCCATTCAACTCACAATCTGTCATCGATGCATACGTTTCCAAAGGCGTTCCTGCGAATAAAATCGTCCTCGGAATGCCCCTGTATGGCCGCGCCTTTACCAACACCGACGGTATCGGCAAGTCGTATAATGGATCGGGCCCAGGCTCTTGGGAAAACGGTGTCTGGGACTTCAAAGCTTTACCCCAGCCAGGTGCTCAAGAGTACTCCGACGAAGAATCTGGTGCCAGCTATTCTTATGACCAGAACACGAGAACACTGGTAAGCTACGACACACTGGACATGGCGAAGAAGAAGGCAAAATGGATCAAGCAGAAAGGCCTCGGCGGAGCAATGTGGTGGGAGCTTTCCGGCGACCGACAAGGCGAGGGCAGCATCGTCAACGGCGTAAGCATTCCCCTCCCTCTCCATCCTCTTTCCCCAGCAAAACCCTACCCCTCTTTTGCTTCACGTGGAATCGCCTCTTCGGAGGAGTTCCCGTCAAGAGTTTGTTTTCGTGCCACGCATTCAAACGCGCCATTGCAAGCCCCAAAGCTAACCTCCCACTCAGGTCGTCGCAGAACTCGGTGGGCCCTCCAGCGGCAGACTGGAACATCACGCCAATTGGCTCATTTACCCAGACTCACAGTATGACAACCTACGCAAAGGATTTCCGAACAACTGAGGTCTATGAATGAATGGATCCCCATGTCTGCCGTCCAGAAACCCCCCACACCCACCTCGGCTCTGCGCCATGAAACCAAGAAATGGATGACAGCAGGATCACTGGCGCAAACCCAGAAATGATTTAGAGTTGGGTGTGGGACTGTGGCAGTTCATGGTGGAGGACAAAACGTTTGATATAGTTTCACGGTGTAGGGATCCTGACCACGGACGAATGCCCTTGCATGGAGTCTCGCTTAGAACTGCTGCCGCTGAAGTGTCACGAGTGCTGAAAAGTGATGAACTGCATGGATTGAACATCGTGATCGAAACATTGCAAGCTATAGTTGCTGACGTGTACGAACTGTATTGTGAGCCCATTTGTGATGCACGCTGGTTATGCCGGGTCAGGACATGCAGAACCAGGTGGCGCTCTTGAAGAAGATTGAGTGAGCTATTATTCGGGTATTCAAAATATTTGAGCTGATTCTGCAGCCGGTGGTGGCTTGCGTCCAGCGGACGTCCTTTCCGGATTCGATCAGGAAAGGGCCAGATACTGGATTTTGCAGCAGACAGCGGCCGTGAAGCGGGTGTGCATGCAAGCTGCAAACTACCTTCCGCAGATACAATGCATTTCGATTTGCTGCGAGCTGCAGAGAAGAGCTGCATGCGCTGGCAGTTCCGGTTCCAGACTTCGTCAAATGTGTATCGGCACAGACAATGGAAGCTTCTGTCAGGCCTTCGCACAGCTAAGTCGCATATAAGATGGAACCATATCATTCTGACGGATCACTTCATGAATGCGATGCTTTGTCTTTGAAGACATTATTTGCAATCGTGTATTCATGGAATGTCGTTGAAGTAATGTGGAGTCCGAGCGCATTGAAAGCCAGGATATTGCCGTCAAAGCGGCCATATGTACAAACCCTGGCGCTATAATACACACAGTAACTGCTGACGATGCGCGCCAGTGAACGCCCAAGCCACTCGAAGGTACCAATGCTATACGTAGATGAGGTTGTAAGACGATGCGGCGTGCTACTATGCAAACGCTGCCGTTAGTGTTTCCGGACAGTGTCAGGCAGGCATGTGTCTGCTGGTGGAAGCAATCGCTGATAAGCGTCTTCACCCGCGAGGGTGGCATCTCTATGCTCCAAGAAAGTCCTGATCCGTTCGTTCCGGTCGCCAGACATGGTGGCGCGTTTGGAGCGTTGAAGCTCTAAAGAGGCTTCTTTGTGAATCCTCTCGCGATGCTCCAGGACCGAAGTACCGAAGACGTTAGCTCGCGTACCTTGCATGATGCCGCCTAATGTGACTATGGCGAAGACCAGGGATACAAAAGCAAAGTTTGACATGTACAGGTCTCGCGGCGCCTCTGTGCCGCTCTCCCGCTGATACCAGCGTTCCCAATCTTCCCATGTCGCATTCTGGCTCGGATCGTGGTTCCACTGGCGCTGTTCGTAGGCCCACGGGCGGGAAGGAGGGTGTGGATGAGTGGGGGCGGGGTGGTGTCCAGACCATCCCAACCCCCAGGCGTCGTATGCTTTGCGCTTCGCATCGTCGGAGAGGATGGTGTGGGCAGCAACGAGCAGGCGGTAGCGCTCCAAGCGCACGGCATGTGGCAGGTGGGCTACTGGAGACGCGGTGTCGGAGCGATCGGGGTGGTACAGCTTGACGAGGGAGTAGAAGCGATGTTTCGTGTAGGCGTGGCCGCGTTTGCAGCGAAGGATCTGGTAAGGCGTAGGAGAGCGGTGGGGAGGCACGGCGTCAGGCCAGGTCAGATCGGCCTCGCTGCTATGCGCGTCCTGGGCGTAGGGACGCGGACGGGAACGGTTGCCGTGTGTGAGGGCGGGGCGGCATGACGTCGCAGGCGGAGGGAACTGGTAGTTGAGGCTGGTATAGGAGAGCAGCAGGGCAGGCTTTCGCGAGAGCATTATCGCGCAATGGCAGAGCGGGCACAGAGCATGTTTCCTGGCACGCGACAGAGGGCGAGGGTGGTGAGGTGCGGGAGGGTTGGCGGGGACGCATGAATGACGGCGGCCGGGGTGCCCGTTGCTGGAGCGTCTACTACGGTATGTAGCCTAGCCTGGCCTAGCCTGCGAAGGGCTCAACAGCAGCTGTGAGCACATGCAGCGTCGCCTTGTTTGCACCGCCGTTCATCGCAGCCGCCGACGCTGCAGCCTGCATGCCGGCCCGCCTGCTGTTTGCATCGCGCTGTTTGGGCGGGTGGGGGTGCGCAATGCGAGCAGCTGTTCTCCTGCACAACGAGTTTGATCTGCTCGCCCAGGACCATCTGCTCGCTTCCGCATGCTTCCCAGCGAGGTGAAGCATCCTGGGACGACAGCATGCTCTATGCGCTAGCAATTGCTCAGAGCTTCGGGCAGACGGGCTCTCGCAGTCAGGTTGAGCAGACTATAAGACTTCCCGCCGTGCCTTGCCGCTACTCGTAGCCTTGCACGCACGTCTTCTGGCCTTCCTTCTGCGCCCCCTCAGCACGCCAGCCATGGACCGCCCACATGACACATCCGGCATGGTAGACCACGAGAAAGAGCTGGTCGACGCCCTCGAAGCCCACCGTGGGAGTCGAGGAGAACCGCTCGCCGGGCTCTTCAACCTGACGAGACGCATGGAAAACGAACAGGACGAGCAGTTCGACGTCGACCTCACCATCATGGACTTCCTGGCTTACAAGGCCACCGACCTCGTTTTCGAATGGAGAGCCAGCTCCGACCCTCACCAGTCGGACCTGCCCTCGGCCCTCGTCACCATGACTGCCGGTGAGTAACCTCAGGTGCCCAGGTGGACCCGGTGTCATGTGCCTTCACTGACCGCACGCCGTAGAATGGAGAACCTTCCTGAAACACAAACACAGCGGCCGCCGTCTCAACAGCCAAGCCGCGTTTCGTTCGCGGCTGCTTCAGTTTTCTTTGCTCTTCACCCATCGCCTGAATCACGAGCAGACTTGGACCACCGAAGAATCACTCGGCGAGCTTCGGACGCAGAACAGAAAGCGCGGCCAGTATTGGCTCCACGCGGGCCACGCTCCAGCCCTTGATCGTCCTTTTGATCCGGCCAGCGAATTCCCCCTCTCCGACGGTGCTCTTGCGGAGCATAGGCACAACCTTGCATGCTCGATTGGCCAACCGCAAGAGAGGAGACGATGGGTGACTGACCTGGAAGGAACGCCTACCCTCCATTGCCTCCTTCCGCTTTTCGTCGAACTCACGGCCGCAAGAGTTCGCCTTGGCGATTGGGTGCCGAGCGAAGGATGGATGGACCTCCTCGGCCATTTCATGCGTGAGTAGTTCTGCTTGGACCCGGCCATGGCAACATACTTACCGTATCCCTCCATATAGTCCATGCTGTCCTTGAAGAGTACTTGCTCAACGGCGCCTACAGCGAGGACACTTTCAACACGATATTCGCGTTTGGCTGTCCTGGAAACGAGCGACAATCAGACGATGGTAGTGACGTGGAAGCAATGCGCTGTCTTTTCTGCAGCCATGGGCATCCACACGAACAGATACCCGGCTGGTCGGAGGTCAAAGAGCGATATGTGGAAAAGGTCAGCAGTGCATTGTCCAAATGGCTGATAACCACAGCTAACGACAACAAGCTTCTCCCTCCCTCAAACCTGTCGCCCTCTTTCGTACAAGCAATGGAGCGTGCCCAGGAACGACATTCGTATGTGGACTTCGAGAACAACGTCATCGCGTTCCTCAAGTATCTACATGACGAACTCGTCAAACCGGATCTCGTCCAAGTCGAGGAAGGACGCGTCGCAATACATGGTAACGAGCTACCCGAAGATGACTCTCATGAAATGATTCGCCGCATAGGTTTGTGACGGGCCGGAGTATAGTGTCCGTCTTTTTGTTATTGTCAGCTGAAATGACTCGCTGTTGTACCCACAGCCCTTCTTCTCTCGTAGACTTCTTTCCGAGCACGACAGCTCGCCTTTATGATTCTTGGTACAATTCGATTCACTCTTTCGATTACCCCTGGCCCTATCTTACTGATGCCTCATATTTGCAAACCCTTTTGCGGGGCAGAATTTCTCGAGAAACAGAGGTATCGTTTCATAATCTGCGTCACTCCAATTCTAAAGTCGCTATGCGCAGAGTCGGTGAAAATGGCTGTTCATTCACCTCTGCTATCGCTTCACCCTGTCAACCGCACGTGGGACACTGTCTGCTGCACAATAGAAAGGTCTTCTTCCAACCGCTTCTCTAAACAATCTTCTATACGTCACCAAAGCTCATTCGCGACACTGTGGACCCGGAGCCAAACCCTACAACCACAGCCATCAATCTCACTCACGTCGACATGCTCATCCTTAAGATCTTCGTAAACTGGCTTTACCACTGCAAGAAAGTCTTCAATCCCCTCCGTACGGCCTGGTACGGTCCACTTCCGCTACAAACCCCTCATCTACTGCCGACTCTTCGGCGTAAAGCTCGAGGATACCGCTTTCTGCACTGCTGTGATGGACAAGTCCATCTTGTTCGCCGCTGAAGCTAATTTGGCCAGCCTGTTCAACATTACCCTATCAGAACTTGTGAACACAAGCTGATGGTGAACATATGATGGGCGGAGTTGAGCATGTCTTACCTTTGAGAAGTTGGTAACGTCGTAAAGGATGCAGGTGCGGAGTCCGTTTAAGAACTTGTCATTTGTTAAAATCAAACAGCACAACAGATGCGCTGCTGTGCTAAGGCAAGACTCGACGACGAACCACGACAAGGGTGAAGGGGAGTACCGAGGCTGGCTCTGTCGTTGTGTAGCACGTTAAGTAGTACCTAGAGAACTTGAGGTTTCCAACACGGGAACGAATGTAAGCCGTCAACATTCGCAATATCGCCGCTTATGTAAAGTGCATTGAAGAAAGACAAGCTCCATGGAAAACCAGAGAGCAACATTGCTGCATTTCAACCGCACTGGGACGAACATTGCGTACCGCTTCACTGCCTGGTGACCGTGAGCTTCACCCGTGCACGCTGCTTCACCAACGCCACAAGGAGACTATTTCGTGCACCTTCCACCAGTTGGGTTGAGTACTTTCACAAAAGCGCTAACGAACAGCTCACGCGGCCGACCTGGAGCGCAACGACGGCTGTTTCGCCCACGTTCAAAAAGCCCCAGCGACGCTCGACATACTGACTGCGCGGACAACCTCGCGAGGCAACCAACTCTCACGATGTCAACCGCCAGACTCGTCTCGAACACAGCAGACCTGGCGCAAGTGCTCGGTAGGCTCAACGTCAGCACAACCGTCCCGCCGCACCTGTACATCGATCTCGAAGGCATAAATCTTTCACGTCACGGCTCGATCTCCCTACTCACTCTCTACGACCGTTCACTACCGTGTATCTTCCTCATTGACGTCCATGCGCTTGGCTTCGCGGCATTCACGACGCCCTCCACGACATGCGCGACAATCTCAAGATCCGATGACAACATACAGCTGATCGGGACCAACAATATCGAGATGAACGTATGCTCAGACGAGAAGCCTTGCCTTATCACATTGAAGTCAATCCTCGAGTCCCCTGAGATTCCCAAGGTCTTCTTCGACGTACGAAACGATTCCGACGCTCTCTTCCACCACTTCGGCATCGAGCTCCGGGGTATACAGGACCTCCAAGTCATGGAACTGGCTAGTAAGTAAACACTCTCTGCCGCCGTACGTGAGGATTGCTAACGACCAAGCGCGCGGCGGACGCAACCGCGAACGCGTCAACGGCCTCTCACGGTGCATCGAGTTTGGACTTATCAACGTCCTCACGCCTCTCCAGCGCTCGCAAGTCAAGACGATTAAGGCCCGCGGCGCGGAGTTGTTCTCACCGGAGAAGGGCGGCTCATACGCGGTGTTCAACGAGCGGCCTCTCGACATGATGCTGGAGCACTACTGTATGCAGGATGTCGTGCACATGCCCGCCCTATGGAACGTATACAACTACAAGCTGCGAATCCGGTTCTGGAATTTTGTGGTAGAGCATGAGACGAAGAAGCGCCTTGCAGAGAGCCGTGCACCGGCGTACCTGCCCACAGGCATGCACAAGTCGCTCGGTTGGACTTGGGAACATCTCCGCCAGTTGGAACGTGCATGGAATGGTTAGTAACAGAGTCTGTGGATCTTCGAAAGACCGGGGCGCATTAGATGGCCCTTCCCCTTCCCCCTCCCCTCAGCGGCACAATTTGTATCGTTGTTTGGGCATGGCTTTGGTATGTAGGTCTGGATGGCAGAAGATGGATATGATAGAACAGCATTCACCGGATAAGGCCTAATGGGTATTAATGATCTCGTGGTTGAGTTTTGGGTAAGGTGAGGTGGGTTTCCTTCCCATCTCTGACCGGTCCGCTGCCGTCTTGGGTACCGTATACTTAGAACGTGACTTCCCCACTTGACGTCAACTACCAGGAAGCATGTACCCAAGGTAAGCGATGATACAAAAAGGTCTAGCATATCTTGACTTCTATTCTGCCTGCGAATAACACGAGTCTCAACAACAATACCAGCAAGCCAACCGACATTTCCCAAATTCACCCCTCATGGTTTTCCTTGCAGATCTCCTGCAACCTGGTCCGGCACAAGAGTTGTTTCCTACTCGCCTCGAGATCCCTCCAACTCCCCGGAAACCACACCGGCAAGTCGCCCTTCCTAGGAGACCTCGACGAAGCCGTGTCCCTCTGCGAATCTTTGACCATAATTGCCTTGTCCTTACTTGAATGCTCCGTTTCTTGAGGCCGTTTGCTTGGGCCAATTGATGCCTTTTGGTTCTCTCTGATACCGTGCACACCCCACGTCCTTACCTCCCCTTTCAAAGATATATGGCCGCTCGACTGTGGTCCGTAGATGGTAAGAAATTGCGGTATGATAAGCTGATTATGCCCAGTCAGAGGGGTGAGCGTTTTCTGGATTATGCACTTAGGATCTCGATGTATGGTTCGCGCCCAGTAAGCTGGTTTTCCGAAGCACAACTTGTGATGGCATGGGACAGAAACCTTATGTTTGCAGACAAATCATCTATCGTACTGATAGAGTGCATGCCAATAGTAAAAAACATCATGCGTCCTTTTTAAATGTAGCAATCTGCCACAAGTGTGGATTGCATTCTTCATCTCTCTCGCGCCTACTGTAAAACTATCAAGATCAGCCAACAATATGCCTCTCGAGGCGAGATCTTTTGTAACTCGCATACGAGTGCTTTGTAGGCATTGTCACCGTGAAACTTAGAAACGTGTGAAAGCCGGTACAAGAGGAAAGGTGATTTATGGTCATAACCAAACGTTTATTTTAGTGCTCTATCTTGCGATAACGGGTAACTTTTGCCAGTCATTGTTACATCGTCCGTCAAGGTTCTACATGCATCTGATATTCCTGACACTTCCTGCTAACACTGTTCAAAGCATCAAAGCTATAGAGTATGCGCTGTGATGTTGAAGTCCACTTGTTGTAGCAGGTTCTCTAGTGCCTTCTTCCTGTGTAGAAAACCATCTGTGTATCCGAGGATATGAGCGCTTTGAGTCCCGATCTGGATCCTCCAATTTCAAGGCAGTGATCCATACGTTGTTGAGCTTGTCCAGCGTACGAGATAGGCTCTGACTACCTTGCCAACGGGCTTGTTATATTCCTCCTGACGTCTTTGTTGATAACGTCGTAGGTGTTTTCTTGGCCGTAAAGAAGCCGTGCGTTTGCTAGTATTGGTTCAGTCTGCATGTAGATTTCGAGAACCTGATGCTACGCGTACAGAGCATCTGTTCCCGTAAATAGAGTTCTTCCGCCGTTGATCCTCCACTCCTTGGTCCAGATGCCATAAGAAGATGTGATTCGTGCGGCTTTTTGTGTGTGAGTATGAACGCGGACTTCGTCTGCTTCATAAGCCCAATTCACTCGATAGTTAGCGCACAGAACTTGAAGCACGTGGCACGGTCACTTGTGTTAATTTGTGAACGACCTATTTGGCTACGCTCATGACTGCAGCCTCGAGTAGAAAACTCTACGATCTTACCTCCTGAGCAGAAGGGCACAGGCAGCAACCCATGTCACTACTGGCTAAGCGTTGACGTACAGATTGGTACTTGGTATAGCTTCTTGAGTCAACCCAGGCAGTTATCAAATGAAGAGGATCTACTTTTGGCTTTGCCTGACTTTGTTCTCGTGCCTACCACAAATGCTACCTGCCGACATAAACTTGGAATAGCGCTTGGCTATGGAGTCGAACAAGGTTTTCGATACAGGGTATAGTGTTTAAGGGTGTTCTAGGCGTGCACTGTCATGGTCATTGTGGAATATTTACCTCGGGCCTCACAAAGTCTGTCATTCTGCATCCAACAGACACGTACTAGAAATGTCCGTGTTGTGCTCGCACTGATGATACACCGTAGCATCCGCCCTACGATCTCTCACCGAACCATGCAAAACTTTTCTCTGATCATGGTACTGCTCATGCGTCATCTTCCATGGCCGACTCATCGTCTCTCCCTCCTTCATCTTCTTCAACTTTAACAGCTCCCCCAGTACCTCTACTAGGAACTCCCTCGGCAGAACGTCTTCCTCCATTTCCCTGTCCAACCACTCAGCCTTGCCCCTGTACATCCAGATATCTACCAAGAACCTCCTAACCGGGCTATCGGGGCTCGTGCCATCGTACAGCACACCAATCTCCTCATTGCTCGGGTAGAGCGCGCGTGAGCCGTTGATGCCCCGCGCATTGAGGACGTACACATCTGCAATGGCATTCATGAAGGGGATGTCAACAAGATAATCGCCGAGGGTATACGCATGAGCTAGCACGGCATAGTGTGCGCTTCGTTCATCCACGGAATCCGCAGGGAACGGGGTCTCGGGGAGTATGGCAAGTTTCCCGGTGTAGACCCAAGTGCGCCAGAGTGCGAAGGCCTCGGGGTCGTGCTCTGATAGCTCGATGACGGGCGCATTGTCTGTTGTCGAACCGTCGCCGTTCAGGGTCCGATTGAAGTTCATGTGACTGCGGAAGTAGTCCGTGTGGTCGTTGATGACGTCCACATGGATATTGAAAGTCCTCTTGGGTTCATCTTTGCCGACTCTAATGGTGATCAGGTCGCAGTCTAGTCTGTAGGAGCGTTAGCCGTCAAGCCCGATAGTCACTATTTGTCGAGAATGGTTCCGATCGAAAACCTTTGCCTTATTGACTGACCTCAAAGCGCTGATTGCAACCCGCTTGTCATCGATCTTGCTCGGGGCCTTCAGAGTAGCCTCCTCATACGCCGTTCTCGGCCGTTTCCGAAGGCCAATGCTCGACCCGGAACCATAGCTCGATCCGAATGTGAAGGTCAGATCAGACATTGCTCTCCTGCCTGCCGGTACTTCTTCCAAACGTCCCACAGTGAACTTTCGCCGGCCTGTCACGAGGCTTCGCGTGTTCGAGGCCGGCGGTTTACGCTCCCACGCCGCTAGCTCTCGTCCTCTTGAGGTGAGCGCACGCGGGCTAAATTGGCCACTGTATGTTCAGCTCGAGCCGTGAGGCCTTCAGTAGTGCCAAGTGTAAAGGACCGCTTCCAAGTGGTGACTGGGTCAAAAGAGGTCTGGTGTCGGTCAGCAGTTGGTTGGTCGGAGTTCGGTTCCTTGGTATGTGGGGCCCGCGGGGAGCATGCTTTAGCTCTTTTGGTGTTAGTGCAATCCGACTCAGTGTCCTTGATGCACCATGATTGATCTGCAGTGTGACCCAGGCGATCGTCAGGCACATCTGCGCAGTTCGCAAGCGGATTGTGCTCAACATGACTCGGACGAGAACGCTCAATCCGTGGTCGAAGGGTCCACTTGGACTCTCGCGTCAATGTCATCGTAAGCGTTGCTTCGAGCTTTGGTATGCATTTCTACTTGATCTTCCTGTTGTTGTCACAGCATCTTGCATAGCGTTTCCCGTTATTATGTCCGAGTTTTTCCTTCGGCCACAGTGATTGAAAATGTTGAACTACTCCATTCGGCAGAGGCGGAATAGTGCATAAAAGGCCCTCTCAGAAATCTACCTTTCCACTATTCACTGACCTCCCCTCCTCGCTCTTCCTCTCAGACTTGACCGACACTGTAACTTCCTGCAAGATGCCATGATAGTTTTGCAGAATGTTCTCCTGGCTGTCATTATCACTATCCCTCTCTCTCTCCCTCTCCCGGTTCTCCACTGCGCCACCGCTTACTACCGCCGTGTTCTTCACCCACTTTGACCCGTTCGCATCGCTACTCATGCTGCCCAGAGGTATGCTATTGTGTTTTGTCGCTCGTAGCTTCGACCCCGTCTTGTTAGTCGAGCCGTACTTCGCCGCACCCGTAGGGCTGTACGAAGACCCCAGGAGCGTGGGCATGATATGGCGCAGGAATGCTTTGAACGCAGGTGCGCCGGCGATGAAGATCGCGGTATTGAGTTCGATGAAGGACCAATTCAGTGGTGTGACGACATTGATGGTGGGATTGGTGGAGGACAGGAGGGATTTGAGCGCGGTAAGACGGATGATGCCGGCGACGCATGCTCTGAAGTGGGTAGTCAGCTATGGCTGCAATGCCTTGTGGGACGTCCATTGCTGCAGGTACTTTCGGTATACAGTGGATCGGGAACGGGAGTATTCTGATGAAGATTCGGATCAGGAAAGGAAAAACGTACAGTCCACCAAGACCAAAGAGCCCACAAAGACTGATGCGCTGTCGAAGTGGCATATGCAGTCCCCACAAAATCTTGATGGGGAGAAAGAGTATCGTGACATCGGCGGCAAGATTGATCGCTGCGTTGGCATAGTAGAAATCGACGATTTTGATACAATGTGCAGTTTTTGCTACCTCAGCGTCCCATAATGCAGACAGCGGTATGCATTGGAGAAGAACGGTCGCGACGCTGCCAATGCCGAAGCCGATGACGATGGCAATGACGACGTATACGAGGGCGAGGAATAATGGCCCGTTGGAGAGACGAAGATAAAAGGACAAAAGAGAAAGCTTGATAAACGTTGCGGAAACGCTATACGTGACTGAGGATGTGAGGATGAGCTATGCACGATCAGGAACTGAAAATCTTCGCAGTGCGAGCGGGTATACCTTCTGGTAGGGGGCGACTTGTTCAGGCTTCTGCTCTGCTGTTGGGCGGCCCAAGCCGTATGACAGTGCTGGAATCTTTTAGCATACAGGGGAATACCTCAGCATCGTGTAAGATCTGCATACCCGCTATGGGAGTGACCGAGCACACTATAGCAAAGACCTAGAACAGCGCCTGAGTCAAAGCCATCCACGCAAGAAGAGTAACGGAAACTCACTGCCCCAATACATATCAGATCTGCGGACGTGTCAGCAGAGCGCATTCACGGAACTGATCTGATCAACTTACAATCATCAATGCCAATCTGCTTGAGGATCACTGTGCGTGCGAAAATCCGTATGGCGATGGACACCACTGTGATGGAAACGAAAACGATGGAGAGGATAAGTAGATCCACAGCCATGTTGCACGGATAACTCAGATATCACATAACATGCCGGTCAGATGAAGAGGAAAAAGGTTATTGATCGACCATACTGGGAGCACAACTGAGTGTACATGTATCGTGAATCGTTTTTAAGGAGCACGGCCTGAAAATTTCCCGCGTTCATTACTGCCAGACGGGAAGGTACGAGGCGAGGGTGCCATTTGCATTCGTATCCCTTCGCGGTACAGGACGCTACGCTACATAGTACAAGCGAAGCGAGAGAGCATTGTTGATCAATGATCCTTCGGTCTTGGTTTCGGCTGCTTTCATGACCGTGCGAGACCACCGATGAATCATCGTTGACTCAAGGCGGGAGCGATGCATATGATTTGACAGCTGTCAAGTGTGGCTACGTTAGTTGTTGCAGGCTTATGAGTCGTGGAGAGCCGCGGCTCAGGGTCTCGGAATCCTGGGGTATGTGCGGAGGCCCCGAGTGGACTCGCATGATCTACGGGACAAGGCTCAACCCGGTCACGGTGGAGCGCATATGCAACCATTCTGAAGCCATCCTCCAATACTCCGTGAGCATGGGGAAACTCGCGACAGGCTTCCATGGCGTCTGGTCCCGGCTCCCGCGAACCCTGTATCCCGGTAGATCACACAAACGCGCCTATGAGCAGCAGGTCGGCTCAATCTCTCGCACGAAATGAGGAAAATGCTGGGCAGCTGAAACGATATAATTAAAAATCTCAACTCATAGAGTCCTACATGCGCAAGAGCCTCAATGTACCTCGGAGTTGCACCAGGCTCACGGGTACGCACTTTGTGCCGGCTCTTCCTTGCTAGGCTGCCTGTTCGTGCCATTTTCCTCCGATTGCCGATGCCGATGAAGATGTAAGCTCGTTCGTCCCTTCTTGCTGCTCTCCTCAATATCTTCCCTCTCGCTCTCGCTCTCTTTATCTCTCTTCTTTTCTATGTGGTGCATTGCCTCTTCCGTCAGCTCTTGCCTGTTCATGCGTTCCAAGACGTCCTTCTTCCTAGTCCGATGATCTCCGATTGTGATGAGAAGACCGGCTGCAGCGTTGCAGGTGATGGAGCAGCAGAGAATCACCGTAGTAACGGCGAACGGCCTGATCTTGTAATACCAACCCCAAGTGACGGCACCAAGAGAGATCTGCAGCAATGAATGGCAATCCAAAAGCACGACAATAGCTACCAGCAAACGTAATGGGAAAGCGTGGTGCGTGTCTGTCTCGTGAGGCTTGTAAAAGGAGTGAGACTTGCAGAACTTGGTTTGATGGTGTTCTAGCTTGGCTTGCTGCTTAGGCGTAAGCACCGTGAACTCCCACTGCTTTTCGGGATCCTCGGGGTCGGTGCCATTGCGACTAGCCATGGGAGCGTTGTTGGCAGGTAGATCATTGTGGTCACGAAGGCTGGGAAGCATATCCTTCTTTCGACGAGACCAAGTATAGTGGTGGTAGTGCGCGATATAGATCATGTGGTACGTATCAATGGCGCGGAAAGGAGCGAGACCATCACCGACAACGGCAAATAGGGCGACCAAAACGCTGTCGATGATGTGGACGACGTAGATCTGCCGGCCACCGACGTTGATCCAGCCGATCAGGAAGAGGACCCACGCGAGACCAAATAGGGTGATCAATGTGGCGTACAAAGTGACCAGGAAGCCAAGTGCTGCAAACGTTAGTCAACAGGTCCGGAAGGCATCAGAGGATGGCTTACGTCGTCTAACATATTGCCCGAAGCCCCTCATGGAACGCTTGAACCTCGATCTTCGCGAGTGAAGCATGTGTCTCACGTGGTCATTCAACTCCTTTTTGTCCTCCTTTGTCCAGCCGTCGAGCGTTGTGCCGTGAGGAAGTACAGCATAGCGGGAATCACTCATGCGCGAGTCAATGGTGGCCAATGTAGCCATTGTACCTTCAGTCTGGGTGCGCTTCAAGCCGGGAGCCTCCGATACTTGCTGTGACTCCTGTACAGGCGCCAGGATGCGGTTGATATCTTCGAGGCTCTCCCTTTCACTTGGTGCGCGCTGCATAACGTAGGTTGGTCTACGGTTCACAAATCTGCCTAGATTGGGAACAAAAAGCGAGTTCTGAATATTGGTCAGGGATGTGAGAGTCTGTACTTCGGGGTCTGTCTTTGTCAGTAAAACAGGCTTTGGCCAGATTGCGGTCAAGCATACCGAGTGTGTCCAAGACGTCGACCATGTTGGACGAGTAGTTGGTCCATGGCCGGTCCCCAGGTGCGGCCGGCGGGTAGTCTTGTGCACTGTCAAGCTCCTTTTCCTTGCCTTTCTTGCTCTTGAAGAAGGCCAATTTGGCGGAGACGGCGCTGGTAGCCCGCGAGAGCATGTTGGGCTCATTCCGCGGGCCGTCGGACTCGGTGGAGGTCGTGGAGCCTGTGTTGATGGGCTCTAGCTGAACGTCTTCCTCGAGCGCAGGCAGCCGCGTCGTCGATTGTTGCAGAGCGTTTGTGGACGCATTCTTGGCGGCGTAGGCATGTTGCACTTCGCCTGCTGAAGGCATCCGGCGAATGCCTATGCTCGACTGGCGCATGCCGACTTGGGGCCGGCGGTGCGGTGCGGAATTGCTTCGAGCGCGTCCGTTCCTTCCTCTAGTTGAGTAGTCAGCGACTGTCAGAAGGAGCAAGCAAGGGAGCATGTAGTCGTTCTTACGCAGAAGCGGGCTGGGAGCGGTTGCCATTGTTGCTGCGCGGCGTGGGGACGGGGGTACCTGCGTCGACCGACGACTGCAGCGAGGTAGGAGGTTCGACAACGGGCTGGTGTACAGGCTGGTCGGTGGGTACGGCAAAGTCGCGCGCGGCAGTGCCCAGGAAGCCCTCATTGACGGCAGCGGTGCTGGCGGCGTCGTCTGGAGGGAGGGCCGAGTGCGGATGGGCGAGCGAGCCTCTGCCGTCGCCCCGAGACGCGCTTTCGGCGACTCTGTTGCGGGCAGAGCGCGCCTTCACCTTCAGCTTGTCCATGGCGATGCTCAGTCGACGATCAAGGGATGAGTATCATGTTGACTTTCTTGGGGCGAGAAGGCGCTTCCGGGTGGTTGCTACCGGCTGGTTGCTAGCCTGCGTCCGTCCTTGTTCTCGCCCTGGCACGACCAATTAGCGAAGGCTGGGCGATGACTTCACAGGCTAACGCCATGACCAAGCTGCCTACGTCGGCCATGAAGGTTGCGTGCAGCCGGGGCCCATGAAGATTGCGTTTGGTGGATCGATGGAGATGGATGGCCCATGAAGATTGCGTGCAGCCGTGGGTCGGGGGAGATGGATGGCCCCGAAGACTGCGTGCACGCCGTGGATGAGGTCCGTGGAGAGGCACGTGAGGAGGATGGCGCTTGTGCGGGGATGCCGCATTGGGTACTCTGCAGGACTGCTGAGTACTACGACGATGCAGTGGGAGCCATCGGGCAGGCCCAGGAATACCGACACTCGGAGCAGGCGTGCAGCTGAATAAGCCCTGGAGCCCTGGAGCCCTGCCCAGGTGCCCAGGTGTCTAGCACCGCACGTGATTCACCTCCTTCACCCTCTTGTCTCTACCAAAACTCATCAAATAAAGCGGTAAACTCCTCAAGCAAGAGAGTCCAAAGCCCTTATCCTATGCCAACGCTTACCCTGCCTGACTCCGACTCTGCTACCCTGATCCTATACCCAACACAACCCCATCAAAGACAGCGCTGTACCCATCTAGCTTACCGACCTGCCTTGGCGGCTGCCGGCACCTGATTGGCTCGCCAGGAATCGTCCACCGCACGCCGCCAACAGTCCCGCACGATGCATCACCTCTTCAGTAGTTGTGGTCCCGCGTAGCGAGTAAGTCGCCCCCATCCATACCAGTGCCACCATTTTCCCTCGTCACGACTGCACTCGCACGTTGACGGCGCTGCCCTTCAGCGTTTCCGTCCGCCCTGCCTGCGTCGCTCAACACTAATGCTGCGGCAAGGTACCTGGATACAACCAGCGTGGAAGCGGCCATGCCTGCAACGCTGGAAGACCCGACTGCGCCCGTCATCTTGCGAACGTCGGGCAACCTGCCATACCCGCCGCCCGGTGGCCCTTTGCCTGTCGGCGTCGCTCCTCGTCAGGTGACTTTGCGAGATCGTGTCACGGTTGCCACCGTCATACCGTTTTCCGCCCCTAACCAAGTCCCTATAACCCTACTGGCCTACCTTTGCGACCAGCTAGGCCGCGAGATCGAAAAAGGCGACACCTACCCCATCGTCGATCCGCTTCCGCTCGACAACTTCGGTCCCTACTGGTTCGGTGTCTTCGGAGCCATCGTCTTGCTCGGTGAGGTACACGATGGACGCCAGATACACGACATGGCCCGTAACGGTTGCGATTGGGAGAGGGAATGCCTCGGCAGCTTCTACATCAAGCCCAACTACCCGGGCCGCTCAAGCCATGTGTGCAATGGCGGCTTCTTGGTCACCGACGCATCACGGAACCGTGGCGTCGGTCGTCTAATGGGTGAGATATATCTAGACTGGGCCCCCAAATTGGTAAGTACCCAGCAGAGTGCCATCGCATCTCTAATCTCCCTAGGGTTACACCTATTCCGTCTTCAACCTCGTCTATGAGACCAACGTTGCTTCCTGTCGAATCTGGGATGCACTAGGCTTCAAGCGACTTGGCCGCGTCAAAGGCTGTGGCAATCTCAAGTCCTATCCGGGCGAACTTGTCGATGCCATCATATATGGTAGAGACCTCGGTCAAGACGATGACTTTGTCTCGGAAGAACGCTTCGACAAGATTCGCTTTTACCTCAAGAATGGAAAGTATCCACACGGCGCAGATAGAGCGGAGAAGAGTCGGCTGCGTAGTGCTGCAACCCACTACAAGCTCTATCCCGCCAGCTCAGCAGGGCCAGAACGACTGATGCTGAAGGGCAAAGAGGTGATTTCAGATCCTCAGCGGCAATACGAGATCGCCCGCGATGTGCACCACAAAGCCCACGGAGGCATCAATAAAACCACAGCTACGATAGCCGAGTCATTCCACTGGGTACGCATCAAAGAAACTGTAAGCCAGGTCATCCGCAACTGCCCGGAGTGCAGCGAGATGAACAAAGGTCTTGCCATCGAGAGATTACGGACTGGACAGCCTACACGATGGGCAACACAGCTACAACAAGAGTCGGTCGACTCTCAAACAACACCTCCGCTACCCCAACAATTTGCACCACCTACGCCACCCCGACCACTTGAGCGATCTAATTCGCCCAGTACCCAGCTTCAGATGGAGGCAGCAGCAACACACCAAGACTTCTACGACTTTAGCGGTCAACACAGCAACTTCGATCTGCCTGTTGACCCTGCACTCATGAATGGCGTAACGCCTTCGCTGAACCTGGAGAATCTACCGCCGTCACCGTTCCTCAACGCAAGCCACAATGTTGGTCAGCCCCTGACACAAATACCGAATATGGATCTGCCAGCAACGGACGTGCCTGGACTTGACGCGCGAACGATGGACGGTGTGACTATGAATGGTACCGTGGAGCGAGCGCCTACCGCCCGTGAAGAGCTCCGCCGACGATTGACGCGAGCCGGGTACGCGAAACAATCAAGCGCTTGATGCCGCTAGCTCACGCACATGCCGTGGTGGATCGATTAGTATGGTTCTATTGCCATGGGAAATGTAGTTCCAGGCCGACAGTATCCAGACGCTAAGCTTTGCCTGCACTGCACAAGAAGATTCTGTTATGCATTCTAGCGATCAGGTAGGATTGCAACCGACTTATACTTTGCTAAAAGACGGAAGGAGCAGTCTCGTACATCAACAACTTTGAGACAGCGAATGCTCTTAGCAAGGGGATAGAATATTGAGCCATCTTATGATCGTCGAAATTTGCAAGTGAGTGGCAATGTTTCATATGCCAGAGAGGCTGCTATCAAGTAGTTCGAGTTAAACCTCGGGCTATCCTGCACTGCCCTTGGCAGACATACATGGGGTCATGATCACGCGTTATCCGAGGAATCGGGTAGCCACTGCATGCTGCCAAGAAGCAAGACTGGTGTATGATTAGATTTAGGAGTGTTACCGCCAATCTCCTTGATAACACAACTGCTTACCTCATCCGTCGCATGGTCCTTTCGTCCATCCTGACGGCCCGGTAACGCGTTTCACTTCCTGATGCCCCAAACATCGCCCCCAAGCGGTACTACCTTCCCAGTTCCCTCCATCTCAGTCAACAGCGCTTTCACCTCCTCAGCACCAAATGGAAACCCCCCCTGAACCATCATCCGCATCATCATCAGAATGCGCATGACAGGCAAATTCCCCTGATTCGTCAGCATACCAATGATGAAGCTCATGTATACATCCTTCCTCTCGTTTAGTAAATCAGCCTGCGACTTGACCGTCGTAGACTGCGCAGCCTGCACTTCAGCAAGCTCCTGCGCTGCGGCCGCAGCATCGGAGTCTTTGGTCGAAGAATCCAGGCGCTCAATGACCGTGTATGCATCAGGTGACACTTCTAGGAGGACAGACTTTCCGACCCAAAACGCGAGTGCCTGGTGCACGAGCGAATCGTCCATTTCAAGCATCTCTTCGAGCTGCTCCGCACTTCGTGTTATACCTTCGCTCTTCGCCTTCCCTTTTCCTTTCCCTGCCCATTCTTCGCCGGGCTGTGACTGGAAAGCGTATATGACGCTGACCTGCCACGGCGTCAAGTGCTCAAAGTCTTCGGTCCGGTCGTCGAACTCTAGAGTGATACGGCTTTCGCCCAGAGCGTTCATCCAGCGTAGCTTGCGCATGCCCTTGATGCGCTCGAAGCGAGTATCATAGTCACGCTGTAGTGATTCGATCTGCGCGGGGACACGGAAAGTTTCGTCGCGGAGTATGGGCCAGAAAAAGGATGAGAGAATATGCGCACTGAGTGCTGGGCCTGGCGGAGGTTTGACAAGTGGTGTGGAGGTGGCTGCGCGACGCGGTCGTGGCGTTTTTGGATCGAGAATTTCGGGCGTCTGTGAAGGTTGGTCTTGGGTTTGGTCGCTGGCTCTTCGAATGGTTTCATTGATGCGCCTTGACTCCAGGACATCGCGTAACATGACCTCACATGCTTGCAATTTGTCTTCGCCAAGTCGGATCTTGATGAGCTCGAGAAGACGAATCTCCTTACGAAATTCTGGATCCTGGCATTTCAGCAGATGATCACCGAAAATATTCTTCAGCTCATTTATGAAGTCGTCGCGATCCCACAGCGTCAAGAGGAAGAAAATGACGTCTTCTACTTTCGACTTTCTGTACTCAGGAGATGCATCGTATGGTGGAGGCTGCCAGCTCATATCGTTCCAGCTTGCCTCATCGTCAGCATCTTCTGCATGTGCAAATGGTTTTGCCATTTCACTGGCGACCTCAAAGGACAGCTCTCCAGCGGATGCCGTCTTGACACTGTTTCCATCATTCGGGTCGATGAGCAGGCTCGATATGATGATGCGAGCAGTATCTTCTCGCTCCTTCAGATATTTCCGAATGGGTCGTGCTACGCTCTGTAACAGGACACCTTTGGGCTCGAGTTTGTGGAATGCACGGATTATAAAGATGTAGACATTCAGAATGTATGTTGTAGTCGCACCCGGATGCAGTAGTCGTCGAGAAACCTGTCGGGAGAAATTGCCTTTGAGGTATTCTTTCGCGCCGTCCAGTCTAAGGTAATCCTAAGGCAGATGAATCAAGTTCTAAGGCTGTTGAGCAAGTTTACTAACCTTAAGGTCCAATATAGCGCCTGAACTTCGGTCCCAATTGGTGACAAAGTCGAAGAGGTCCTCGACCCTTGCACGGCCGAGTCTCGCCAAAGCCATCTCTTGCCACTGCTTCCGCTGCAGCGGTGGTATGGATGCAGGGTCGCATTCTAGACACTCCAAGACGAGTTCGGCTAAGGGAATGAATCCACTTTCGATCCATACGCGTAATTGAGCTGTTACGGACTGTTTAGAGTACCAATCTACTTTGAGATAATGGCTTGAGATATAAGTATCCAGGAGCTTATTCATTGCATACGCCAACGCTCTTTGAGCTTCATCTTGTCCTAAACCGACCCCCTTGAGGCCAATCAACAAGAGCGTCATCCGTCGGCGTACTTTCTTCGTATCTATAGGCTCGGTTTCGCCCTGTACAATGCCGTCATGGCGTACCTGAACTCGGAATAATTTACATGCTGCATCATAGAGCATATAGCTCAGCGTCTTCGAAAATCGGTTTGCAGGGAGACTGTGCGCAAAGACAGCATGTATTTCCATTTCAAACTTGCGTTTCGCGGCTTTAACCGTCTCGGCTTCAAGGTTATCGGAGGACGTACTGGCGCGAATCGTGATATTGGCGGCGGCTTCTTGTACGAACGGTAGTAAGTGGTCGTGGAAAGGCTGGGAGTAAAGGTCCTGAACTTGCTGGAGCACTTGTTGGGTGTCTTCGAGGACATGCCAGGCATTGCTCAATTCAATGTCCTACACACTGTGGGTCAGCACAGTAGCCTCAGCTTCAACCTCTGATGTAGATGCAGACCTTGTCCCAGGATTCGAGCAGACCCTGTCTCACATGATTTGCAAAGTGTAACCGTGCCTCGTTGGCATACCAATCTGCAATGCCTTCTTCACCGTCCTGGCTGGTGCCTTCCCCAACCAGCAGATAGCTGAGTGCGTCCTCAACGTCTGGTGGTCTTTGTGTCCCTATTGGGGCCTTATTCAGATCTCTCGGCAAGCTCAGAAAGCGCGTTGCTGTGCTCCACGCAAGGCTGCGCCGCACAGCGCGCTGTTGCGTCCCCGCATTGTTGGCAACGTGTGGACTACCGAAAGAAGCTCCGGTCCCAGTGTATCCGAGGTCGGGCGTCGCAACAGGTGTAGGCGTCGTATGCGAGAGCGAAGGAACGGGGAAAACGGAGGCGAAGACGAGCGTCGCATGGTCCATGGCGGCCGTGGGCCCCGCCTGGCAGTCGTCGAAGTACTTTGTTTACGAAGACAGCGGGCAGGTCATGGCTACATGACGAGCACACGCGCGTCCGACAGGGTCGCTGAGAAGGTGGGAGCGTATGCCGGCAAAGGAAATTGGTATGCGTGCCAATGCGTGCGCAGTGTGGTGCCGTGGTGAATGCGGAGGTCGCATGCAAGTGCACGGCTGCCCCGGCCGTCGCGAATTCACGTGACATGGCGTCTGCAGGTGACGCCACGGTTCAGTGCCTGTTCTTTGAACAGGGCATTTGCACGACCGATTCGATACCTGAGCGTGGCTTCCACACTGGCCCGATTTGGCGATTTGGGCACAGGCACCCGGCGTGCTGCACTGTCTTCACAGGTCGCGCATGATTCTTCAGAAAGGTGGATCGGAGACCACAGCCGGCCTCGAAGCAAGGTCCGCGAGATGCCGCTGCGTCTGTTTCACGCTGATCGCGCAATTTCGCGTCACTCCCATAGGCCCATCTGCATCTGACTTGCGTACACAGCCACGCCGATGTGCGCATGGCGAGCCTAGCGTAGTGTTGCAGCTCTCAGCTACCCCGCCACACTCGACCGCGACAAGCAGCTTTATCTCCCCGCTACCCCTCCATGTCTTCCTTCATCAAATCCCTCCAGCGAACCTCCAATTCCAACCTTGCACGCGCACTCCAACCCCGTACCGCTTCTGCTCTCTTCCACACGACCGCTAGAGCCATGGGTGTCACCAAGACCACCATCTCCGAGGGTAATGGCCCATCGCCCCAGAAGGGTGACACCGTCACCATGCTGTACACCGGCTGGTTGAAGAACGCCGACGGATCCAAGGGCAAGGAGTTCGACTCCACCCAGAAGCCCGGCCGCGGCCCCTTCAAGACCCCCATTGGCGTTGGTCGCGTCATCAGGGGTAAGTTTGCTGTCCAGTCCTCTGGTTGGCCATGAACGCGACCCTTTGGGAACAGAAACTGACAAGAGCAGGTTGGGATGAGGGTGTCCCGCAGATGAAGCTCGGCGAAAAGGCGACGCTGGACATCACCAGCGATTACGCATACGGCAACCAGGAGTTTCCTGGCCTCATCCCCAAGAACTCCAACCTCATCTTGTAATTCTTCTTCTCATGTGCTATGTCCAGGATGGATGCTAATAACTGTACAGCGAGGTTGAGCTCCAGAACATCAACTAAGCGGTTCTCGCTCATTGATCTGTATGCCGATCAGAAAGGGATCTATACTCGATGAAAAGCTTGCATTTAAGGCCTGCCTAAGGTCCATAGCAGCTGAATTTGGCCTCGGTCGTTGCAGCCTTCAATACCAAAAGTACATTGTTCGCTCTGCGACGTGAAATTCCTTTGCGCTTTTGTGAACCTCTTGCCCACTCGCGAAACTTACTTCCTCCACGGACACTTGGAATCATCTATGGTGATCTTTTCAGCTTCCTCCATTGAGCTTGCTCGTGCGATGATCACATAATAGTCCCCAAATACCTAGCCTGTGGAGACACGGAGGGCCGGACGAGACAGACGCCATTCAAACGAAGATCATTTTCGAATGTGGGCATACAAATGTACTGCATGTCCACCTCATTCCTTCGACGATGAACCCTTCTTGTCCTCTATTGGTTCCCCTGCTTCACGCTCCTTCCTCCTTTGTGCCACGTCCCAATTGTATACTCGCGCGAATGCCACTTCCAGCGTTGTGATCTGCTCCCGTAGAAACTCCATGTCCTCTTCGCAAGTCTCTAGGCTCTTCTTCGCGGTGTCGAGTTTGGACTTGAGAAGCTGCTCGGCCTCTGGTATAGGGTATGCTAGCATGACATTCGCTCCTAGCCACAGGTATACCTCTCCCGTAGGTGGCACCTCTGCCTTCGCAAACAGTGTATCGTTAAGTTCGAAGGTTGTCTCGATAGGGTCCGCGTCGGCCTGTGGGAAATGTCAGTGTTTGCTTCTTCGGCTCTGTACGCAAGATTGAGTACCTTTCTGCCTTCTAGAAACCGGACAGTCTCCAGCGTCTTCTGAATGTCGGGGATTTTATCCTTGAGTCCTGCAGCGCGTCGCTGTGTGTTTTGCTCCATGAACTGATATTTCCTAAAGCCAAGCCATAAGCCAAACGTTCTCATTCGTGAAAGTTGGTCTGGCTCACGATATCATCTCCTTGAAGCTGTTGATCGTGCTTTCTACCTCGGATCGGTTGGTAACATAGTCTTCTACACGGTCGACGAAGGGTGCGACGGGAATGCCGCGCGGATTGGTAGGCGCATCTCTGCTGATAACCGGGTCAGAAGGTTACAATGTCTCATCTTAGGGCTCTTTACCTGCCTGGCTTCAGCGCGGTCGTCATTGCGAAGTCTGCGACGCTGCAATAACGAAGCAATAGTGACGAGATCGAGGCCTCGAACAGAAATTGCACGTGATGCGGGGCAGTCCACGGGTCTGCAGGTGTCCTTAGTCATACTCATACTCTTGGCAGAGTTGCCAAGGTTTCCGCTCCGCCCTTCGACTTCGGTAGTCTTCCGTCCTCTCAAGTCTCACCCAATCCCTGATGACGGCATATCGCACCAATATCCCTTCGACAAGGATCAGCAATCTTACCTTGATGTTGCCTCGGGCGTCCACCCTCGGCCCAACATTCTCTAATGCTTTTCAACACTGAGCCTTCATTCGCCTGTACGTCTGTGGAGATGAACACATCACTCCAGTGCATGACATCTCCAAAAGTTCCGCGATGCCCCAGGCTCCCCACAGGATGCTGCCGGTTAGCCAGAACAAGCCGAAAAGGTCGCTGCCTGTGCATCAGCGGCGCAAGTACGCTCTGCGCTTGCGAGAGCTACCTGCGCATGAACTTATAAACCAAGCGATAGGTCTAGATAGGACTCGCATATACGAAGGGTCTACCTACGAGCTGAAGTAGCGCAGTATTGAAGATCATCATGCTGCATAGCCTTTCTCTTAGCCGGGAATCGTCTATCTTCGTCGGCATCAGCCCTACTGCAGCATCCCACGTCTAGTCCGGGTGCACTATCTTTCATTACGAAATCAAAAATTACTCATCGTAAAGATAATCGGAGCTGAAAGAAGCTAGCTTTGCGTCCCACGGCGCACTTATACTCTCTAACCGGGACTCCACCTATTGTCCGAACCTGCATCTACATACAGCCCGAGCCCGCCGATCTCGATTCTTCTTTTGCTCATTGGACGCGGTGACTGCATCTACAAGAGCAGACCCTCTTGTTTGCTTGTGTGTGCTTTCTGTTAACCTCGAAAAGCCATCAGAGCGAAGTCAAATGGTATTCCCGCGGACCCGCGAACACTTAACGATAGGCACAGCTAAGAGATGACACGCATAGTTGTGGCGCGATGCGCGTTATATCGGAATCTTCCTCTACGTTGATTTGATTTGCTCGATGATTTTCAATGTTCTGCGTCCCTTACACAGATTGAATAACTTCATTCGTCTTGAGCAATCCTTCGCGGACATAGTCACAATAGTCTCACACCGGTCGACTCCTCAGTCGATCTTTGTTGCTGGACGCTGTTTGCGAGGGGGGTAGTTCGATCACAAAGTTATTTTAAAATGACCACACCAGGATTCGGCGCGCTGTAGCCCGAACCGTGGTTCTTGCTGTCATCCATTGCCGCGCCGTTGACAGGGTTCGCATTAGGGTGGCTGTCACTGCCCCGCCTCAACCACAACTTTGAACAGACCTCTTGCACATGTCAGGGGGCTGTGGCTGGGTCCTTGGATCTGCAATTGCTTAAGAAGATTGAGATCATGCATCCTCTGCATCTCCAGATCTCAGACGCGGAGCCCTGCGGCTCCGGTTGTGTCTGCAGTTCGTTACCACGTGCGATGACGGTTAGCCCCGGCAACCCAATTGGACTGCTTTGAGGCGTCAGGAAGACCGTAGAACTTTCGAACTTGATAGCATCGTAAAGCAAGTTTATCGAGTTGCGAATCAGGATGGCACCTCCGAACGAGGTACGATCGTTGTACTGTGGCTACCTGGAGATTTACGCTTGCAATCCAAGCATGGTAAGATCATCGGACTAGAGCTCACTGCCTTTGACCTAGCTCACATCGATCCCTCTCGCGTGCGTCCGATTATGTCGGTTCCTGAGAAACCACATTCGCGGTTGGCGCTTGCAGTCAATATTCGGGGACAGCTCCGTAACGCCACGATTGACTGCAATGTATCTCGTCTAGGCCGGAACAGTCGAGTTGTACATTGCGGCCTCAGAACTTGGGTTCGATGGCGAAGCTTGGCTAGTGTGAGGAGATCAGTGACCAAGGAAATGCGATATGTGGGAGTCCGGGGAATCGCAAGGCTAGGTAAAGCTGCTAAGGTTCGGATGCCTGCAGGTCGGAGGCCCGTACCGGTCGCATATTGGTGCATCGGGAGTCGGAAGGCAGCAGCCGCAAAGGATGGCGAGCGTTGAAGCATTCAGTGTGATGAAGGGCTGCCAAGGTGGTGCCTTTGCCACGAGCGATAGGCGAATATAATTATGGAATAGTGTATTTCATAATCATTGTGTGTGCATGTCGTCGAAGCATGAGATGTGCTCGACTGATGCTTCTTCTTCGCTTGCGTGGTCCTGCTCTTCCCAGCCCCTTTACTCCGATATTGTTTGCCTTTCTGTATCCCCGCCTCTGTAAATTTCGCAGCACACGACCGCTCACTAATCCTATTCATGAAGCTACCACCATTTTTTATTTGACTCAAAACGTTATGAGTACCCGGATTCTGCGGCGCTGTTATGCAATTGAGAGTCCATGACGTGCATACATGACCTGACACCCCGCCGCCTTCCGTAACCAGCCCTATGACCTAAGCCTTGTTGGACGTTCCTAAATCGACGTAGGTATAGAGTAGCTGGCGTGCTGGCGGTAGGAAGAGGGTACGAGGGAGGTTGATTGCAGTGCAGTGACCCTCAGGGTGACCGTGCTACCGAGTGTTATCTTGTACATGTCAATCGTAACTAGAGAACAGAGGTATCTTTGTCAATAATAATTCAAGCAAGCAATTCGCACATACGAGCATAGTAAGCAGTATTGTGAACTAGTCTCTTGGTATTGGTCTAAGGAAATAGTCGTGTACACATAATGAGGCATAACGCCAAATAGACACTAAAATAAAGCAAAGGAAAAAGTGCAACGCTGAGATTATGGACAGGAACGCCAGCCCACCCACTACATGGCCCCCCGCACCACTGACGAGAAAAAAAAGTGATGCATGTGATGTTATAAGCCAAACCAAACGCCCACATTCCAAGGTTCAACGCTTGAACAAATGAAATGCATGCAGACTGTCGACAACATCAGATATCGACCATTACAGTTTCAATCCTTTCTGTATGAGCTTGCCTAGAGTGGCTCCCTATGCGTCATTAGCATTGTAATCGAGAAGGTAGTAGAAGTGAGGTCGACTTACGTGATCACCCTTCATCATCGTGAAGTGGTTGCCGCCCATGACGGCGTATTCGAAATTCTCCTTGGGCAGTAGCTGTGCCCAGCCGTTGTCATCGAAAACAGTACGATTGTTGAGGAGCCACTTCATGGGCGCCGGGTCTTCCCCCTCTCCCGGGGGAGGGCGAGGATCATCCGGGTTGGGGCACACGCCATCAGTGCACCAGATGGCTAGCACAGGCGGTGCAATCTTCGGGTTCATCGGAACTGGGTCATAGTCCTTGAGGTTCTTGATGGCCGATGCAAAGTGAGGTAGTAGCCAGCTGGGAGTACCCCCTGGCTTACCAGTTCCCAGCAGACCGATCTGGTCAAAAAAAGATATGGAGACGGGCGGGAAGAGGGTCAAGCGCAACAGGGCAAGGCGCGTCGATGAGGACGAGGCTCTCGACCTTCTCACCAGATTCAACGATCAGGCGAGCGACTTCGTAGGCCATGACACCTCCTGCGGACCAACCGCCGATAATGTAAGGGCCTTGAGGTTGACGGCGCTTGATCTCGGCCAAGTAGAGGGCAGAGACGCCTTCAACACCGCAGGTCCATTTCTCGGGACACTTCATGAACGGACAATTGAGCCCGAAGACGGCCATGTCGGGAGAGATATTGGGAATGGAAATGTAGGAGGTGGCGCTTCCAGAGCCGTCGGGTACGAGGAAGAACTTCTTCGTGGCGACCTTCGCGTTACCCTGGAGCAGAACAGAGTTGGCGGGAGGAAGTTTTGTGACATCGACAACCTTCTCTAGCTTTTTGTTGACCTCCGCGAGCTGGGGCTTGGAGGGCTTCGGGGTCTTAAAGGTAACCTTGGCAGTAGCCTCGACTTTGGGCTTGGGACGCATGCCGAGCTCGTTCTCAATGTCTTCGATCGTGACATTGGTGGTTAGGAACTCAGACGGGAGATCGATGCCGGTCTGCTCGCGGAGCGCGCCCAGAATGGTAAGACTCATGAGGGAGTCCATACCCATCTCGGAGAGATCGAGCTTGTCGGTGATCTCAGAGACCTCCACACCCATTTCCTGAGCGACGATCTTGCGAGCAAGGCTGGCGTCACCATCGACAACCTCGAAGGATTCGGTGACTTTGACATCGCCGGATTCACTGGGGGCGGAGCTAGCAGGAGTGCTAGCTACACCAGCCTCAAAGGGAGTCGATATGTCCGAGGTCTCCTCAGTGGTGTCGGAATCGGCGTCATCCTCAAGCAGAGGGGCCCCACCATCGTAATGAGAGAAGTATTTCTTCATCTCGCCGACAGTCGAATAGTCGATGAAGAGAGTGGAGCTAATATCCATGTCTAAATCCTCACGGAACTTGGCAGAGATGGTGAGGGACATGAGTGAATCAACTCCGAGATTCTCAAAAGCAGCCTCGTCGACGAGCTCCGACATGTCAACATCAGTCTCCTCGGCTATGATCCTCATAACTCGAGAACTGATAGAGTTGGCGGACTGCTTGGGAGCCTTGACAGCCTTGGTCTTGGCGGCGGGTTTGGCGGAGATCTTAGCTGGGGCGCTTTGGCCCTTTGCGGGAGCAGGAGCTGCAATAGCGACTTTGGCAGGGGCGGCCCTGACGGGACCAGTGCCAGCTTTTGCGGCTCCAGGAGGCGGCATCATGATGTTGAGAGCGCGGCGTGGGATGTTCTGGAACTTCAAGCCAGTGACCATACCGATGACCTCGTCACCCTCAAGAATGTAGACGTCACCAGCGGACACATTGTTCGGCTGAGGCATCATGCGCACATAAGAGCGGTACTTCTTCTCCGGTGACAAGGTCTTGGAGATTCTGATGGAGCCCCAACCGTGAGAGATGTAGACGGAGTTGTCGGAGTCAAGATGATCGGACGCATTGACGATGAAGCCTGACAAGTGAGCCAAACTGTCGATCCAATACGGTGAGCAGAAGAATTCGCCGTCTGCTGGGGTGGTCTGGAATTTGATAGCCGCGGTTGCCTCGGTTGTCTTGCCATCCAGGATTACTTCCTCCATGCCCCGATAATTGTCGGCGTAGTTAACTAGGGCCTTGAAGAGCTTGTAAGCCATGCCGCGCAGAACCTTGTGTGCTGCACCGGTCTGGAGCTTGTGCGTGAGAGTGTCGATCTGGTTCTGCACCATGAACTGGATGCGGGACCAATCCTCCCTCCAAGCGTTGACATCTTCATACTTGACGGTACCAAAAGCGTGCTCAGCGAGCACCTTGGACCCGTCAGCAGGGACAGTACGATACTTAACCTCAACTCGATTGGTCTCAAGGTCGGCCGTAGCCTCGATCTGGAGATGCTGTCCGACAGGAGGGGCAGGGTACTCGGGAATCAAGCCCTTTGTTACTTCCATGTGGCACACGTTCAAGCCAGGAGTGGGTAGGTTGGGGCGCAGTTGCTTGTATAAGTAATCCGCAACCGTCATAGCCTGATCGGCGTATAGCGACGAAGGGCAGAACGGATTGCCATTGACCTGATGGCCGCTGATTGTAGCCTTGAGCTTAGGATCGGAGAGGTCCGACTGAATAACAACAGTTCCGGAGTTAGCGTGAAGCTCCTCGCGAACGATACAGTGGCAAGACGTGGTGCAAAGCTTGGAAGCAACGGGTACAGGCGCTACCTCGATGGCCTTGGATTCAGCGACACGAGGAGCCTCGCCCTTGGTGAGAGTCCAATTGTTGTGGTAGTCGAGCCAGTACTTCTTGTGATCGAACGAGTATGTGGGGAGCTCCAGGAGCTCCTGGGCATCGTTGAACTGCCTATGGTACTCATTCCAATCGAATGCTACACCGCATAGATAGAGAGTGGTGATGCTGTTGGTGAGTGTCTTCCATGGATCTTCGTTGCGGCGCAGTGATCCTGCAGTAGTGGGCGACCACGCCCCGAGAGAAGACTTGACCATGCCGCTGCAGACTGGATGAGCACCAATCTCGACCCAAGCTGTCTTCTCGTCGAAAGCCTTCTGGTCCTTCCCGGTGTTAAGGGCGACCCAGAAGTTGACGGTCTCGCGCGCATGGCGGGCGAGGTATTCGGGCCCGATGACACCAACCTCACGGATGACTTCTCCTGTCAGAGGCGACAGCACTGGCACCTCCGGTTTGTTGAAGACAATGGAAGCCGCAGAAGCCTTGAACTTCTCGAGAATGGGTTCAATCTGAGCGGAGTGGAAGGCAAATGGCACGTTCAGCTTGGTCGCCTTGAAGCCCTTTGAGGCAAGCTTCTCGTTCGTGGAGTCAACAACCTCCACAGTGCCACAGAGGACAGTCTCTTCGGGACCGTTCATGCAGGCAATCTCGGTCATATAACTGCCAAGAGCCTCACTGATGGCTTCGACACTGCCTTTCACGGCAAGCATGCCGTGGGTATTAGCGGTGCACTCTTGCTCGAGGAGCTGTGCGCGACGACCGACAAGCAGAACCATGTCACTGGCGGAGATCACACCAGCAACGTGAAGAGCAGCATATTCACCGAGACTGTGACCAATCACAGCGACGGGCTTAACTTCCCAAGAAGCCCACATACGAGAAAGCGCGACTTGAATGCAGGCCATACCGAGCTGCATAACGATAGGAGATAGTGTAGCAACATCGGTACCGTCCAAGAGAGGGATGAATGATGGGAATTGGTGCAGACGAGCAAGGTTGTCGAGCTGCTCAATATTTGCCTTGAAGGTGTCTAGCTCATCATAAAGCTTCTTCCCAAGAGCGGTGTACTGAGAGCCTTGTCCAGTGAAGGTGAAAGCTGTCTTCGTTGGCACCATTGCGATGGGGCTGTAGGTGTCCTTCAGCTGTGCTTGCAGGGTAGCCTTGACCATGTCGATGTCGTTTACGCAGACTGCAACGCGGTAGTTGTGCTGAATGCGGCGGGCAGTGGTCGTGTATGCCAAGCTGGTAAGCATGGTCTCAGGATGCTGGTCAAGATATTGGATCAGGTTGTTGATGTTCTTCTTAAGCGAGGCGATCGACCTGCCAGTGACGGCGATCGTTTGAAGGCTGCGAGGATCAACAGCCATAGGAACCTCGCGCAAAGGGCCATCCTCCATCACAATGGCGGTGTTACCGCCTGCTGCGGAGAAGTTGTTCAAAAACAACTTTCGCTTCTCAGCGCCCTTGCGGGGCCAGGCAACCTGCTTAGTCTCGATATGGACGTTGCGCTGAAGCAGGTCTTTGGGGAAAGTCTTGTTCATGACGCCCTTGATACCTACATTGGCAGGGATAGCGTCCTTCTTCATCATCATCAAGACTTTGATTAAAGAGTTGATGCCAGAGGCCGCTTCTCCGTGTCCAATGTTTGCCTTGATGGCACCAAGGTGGAGAGTCTCCTCGGGCTTGCGTTGGCGGTTGCGCGGCGCGAACGCATTAGTGACTGAAGTCATCTCAATGCCGTCACCTGCTTGAGTACCAGTTCCGTGCATCTCGACGTAGCTGATATCGTGAGCATCAATGCCGGCATTAGCAAGCACTTTCTTGTAGAGGTACTCTTGCGCGCCAGCGTGGGGATGGGTGATCGAGACAGCCTCGGCACTGTGGTTAGTAGCAGCTCCGAGAATGCATCCAAGGATGTTGTCCTTATCTGCGACGGCATCTTCGTAGCGCTTAAGAATGACGGTACCGCAACCGTCACCACGGCAATAGCCGTCGGCATCGTTGTCGTAGGTCTTGCAGCTGCCAGTCTTAGACAGGAACTGACCTTTGCTCAGGCCGGAGAAAATGTCAGGATTTGTCAAGACGTTCAGGCCACCAGCGCAAGCAGTGTCGCAGTCACCAGCCCAGAGGGAGGTGCAAGCAAGCTGGATGGCGGCGAGAGATGATGAACAGGCGGTATCGATGCTGTAGGATGGACCAGAGAACTTGAAGTAATAGTTAATCCTGCCAGGTGCGAAAGCGCGCACACCACCAGTGATGAAATAGGTGTCAACGTTCTCGGCGGCATTAATCTCACGCCAATCATCTGAAGTCTGCCCGTAGAAGGTCCCAATACGCTCAAGCTTGCTGGAGGGAGTCCGGTTGGGTACATAGCCAGACATTTCCAGAGCCTCGTAAGCAGTCGTGAGGGCAAGTCGGCCCATAGGATCGGTTTGGGCGGCCTCGCGAGGCGACATGTTGAAGAAACGAGGGTCAAAGAGTCCTGGCTCGTCGATGAAGCAGCCATACGGAGTGTGGCTCTTGTTCTTCCCTTTTCCAGAAGGGTCGCAGTGAGCATGGGCGTCGAAGCGATCAGAAGGCACCTCGCGATGAACATCGAGGCCCTTCTCGAGCAGCTCCCACAGCTGGTCGTGAGAGGCAGCGCTAGGGAAGCGCCCAGCCATACCGACGATGGCGATCTTGTCGTTTTGTGTGCGGCCTTTGGAGTGTTCGGACTTGACGGCCCAAGCAGTGTGGTCGCGGACCTTGACGGAAGATTGGCCGCCAGCCTTGAGGGCGGAGGCAAGGCTGTTCACGACGTTGGTGACACCGACGGCGGAGACCGACGCCTCGGCATTGCTAACGCTCGTGATCTGAGAGACTGCTTCTTCCAACAGGCTGTCCCATCGGACGGGCTCGAGGAGAACGTCGCTCAAAGCACTTCGGAGGAGATCCAGCGTGTTGGTCGCACCATGGCACCGGCCATCCGAGGCCGAGTGGACGAGTGCATGAGGGCGCGCGTTCTTGAAGAGCTCGACCAATGGGCCGCTCAAGATGCGCTCAATGTCGGCATGGCTGTAGAGATGAGGCGCGTGGTAAGGCGCGTACACGGGGATGGGCACGCGGGTGGTGTTGTTGAAGGCATCTGCTTCGGCGAAGAGGCGTTTGGTGGTTGATGGTGGACCGCTGACGGTAATGGCCATCACGCTAACAGCGCTAACGTAGGCCTGTGCCGCCACGGCCATGTTGCGCTCGCGGTGGAAGTCCGCCATGGCACTCGTTGCCGCATGTTCGGAGATTCCTGCCACAATCGTAGACCAGCTGTCGCGTGAGCCGTCGATTGCCTCCGCCGCCGTGCCGACGCAGGTGCCCGTGCGGAAGGCGATCCGAACAGCCTCGACGGCGAGCGGCAACAGGTCACCTATGCTCCTGGAGGACGCAACCACAGACGCTGCGACCACACCAGTGCACAGCCCGAGTACTCTTGTGTTGGCAGCGTTTGGCAGTTCTGCGAGGTTCTCGCCGTAGTAGCTGCAACAGTCAGTCCGGTTCAGATCAGATGCCGTCGGGTTGCAACCTACCCGATGTAGTGCGCTAGTTGTGCTATTGTCACCATGCAGCTCTCGAGTTGAGCGACCTTTGAGCTCGTGGCGTAGTACGCTTCCACCAAGTCTCCGACCGTGAGGAAGTCTGGTATCTGCTCTCGCTGCGACCGCGGCAGCTTCTGTGTCTCTTCTCGTAGCACAACACTGATGCGCTCCAGGAATGTCTTGAGCAGTGCATTGTCTTTCCACGTGACAGCCTTTCGCAGAAGCACATACTGGTCTGCAGTCTGATCACCGAAGATCAAAGCGTTCATTATGGCGGTCGATCCGGTGGGGTATATTAACAAAGAAGAGAAGCAGTTCTGACAAGACTGGACAATGCCAATGTAGGGAATTATACCCGGATCTCAGGCCGACAGGGACGGCAATGAGCGCCAAGGTCGAGGACGGTGAGGTCAACGATGACTCCGGTCAGATACTTCTCGAATGAAGGAGGGCCTCTTAAAATGTGAATAAAACCCAAGAGAGCGGGTGATTGCTGACACGTAAAAAAGAGTACCAAGAGACTGTGTCAGGAACGAGCTGTTTGATAGATTGACGGAAATGGGATTCCTCTATATTTGTAGGCTTGTGAAAGTTCAGAGCGATCAGGGCTGTGGCCTAGCTGAGATCGTGCGATTGCAAGCCCACTCCTCGGTACCGGATGTGTAAGAGCACTGATACGGGGCTCATGCACCGCCGGACGATGTAGAGCAGCAGCATGTTGACGTGAGGATCAAAGTGGAGCAGTGGTCAATCCTTCCCTAGTCGGGCAGCCATGATTCCAAGGATTGATGGCGCGCACAGATGGGACTGGTCCATCAGAGCATCCACGGCTATTGCTAGACGGCCCGGGCTAGACGGGATACTCAGCCGCTCAAGACGCTTAGCCCATGCGTCAGGGATGATAGCAATTAGAGAGGTGAGACGTGGGAACATCGTCTTGTCAGGGCGCTGTCTCGAAGTTCGGGTGAACTAATCGGATCCCCATAAGCCGGGGTGGCTGTGGAGTTCGACCATAGTGACGACCTGTCAGTTATGTCAGCCAACATCAGGTTTTAGACGAAATACAGATTAGAGCATAGTGAATGCCTTGAACCGTGGAAGTGATGAAGCTTTGTTAAAGGCGTTCGGCAGCCAAGTTGAGATGCAGCTGCAGTCACTGCGCAGCACTCAATGCTCAGGTTGGACAGGGTGTTACGCGTGCTTGTGCCATAACAGTTCTTCAAATCGTGCACGCTTAGAATTTTTCAATAGCATTGCCTTGCTGAGTCGTCATAACTAGTCTTTGATACTTGGGACATCGGCAAAGCGGCCTGCAGCATGGTTCGGCCAGAGAGGCTTTGAAGGCGGCTGCCTGATTGTCATCTTGACCAAGGATCGCATGGAAATGGGAATACATTGACCGAGGTGAGCGTGGCTCCTTGGTGACCCGCTCGGTAACCTGAGCTGACATAAAGTGCTGGCTTGAAGCATGGGTTGATGCTAGAGCAAAAGGCTCACCATGATAGATCGCTGGGATGTTTCAAACCCGCACAGCAGGCTCTACTTAGTTAGCGCAGCTTTTGTGGGTCCCAGTACGATGCCGTGGCCGCCCGTTTTCGGATACCTAAATACGAGTGCGGTTAAGTCGGCGGGCCACGAGTTTCTGTGGTTTTACCAGTGCGAAGGCTAGCAGAACAGCAATCTCCATGACGAAGCCACACACGCGACGTTTGTCGGCGACGTATTGGAGCAGGACTCGTTTGCAGAGCCTGCGTAAAATTTCAGCGACTGTATTCCTCAGAAGCAAGAGGTTGGCTAGCTTGTCAAATTTCAAGTGATCGTCGTTAGTCTCCATAATCTCGCACTTCCCCACACGGGAACATGGCCACGTCCGGGTGCAGCAGTGTACCAGAAGGAGTGTATATATTGGTTGAAGCTGGCTGGCACGCACGCCTCGAACCGCCTGGTAGTATTCAACAGGGCCTTGACAGATAGAGAGCCATGGAACTGTGGCATATCGCCATCTCAAGCCGCACCCAGCCTCCTGCGAACAGAGAACAGGACGTGCCTCGTCGGATACATCGCTCGTCAAAGAGCCCAGGCTTCTTTTGGGAAAGCGCCGTGTAATGTGAGTAGGTAACTGCCGGGCCCGCAAAAAGGATTGCGATGTGACGGGCTCCCATGTGGACTTTCCGGTGGAGGACAGGGGCGGAGAGCGGAGCGGAGGCCGATCGATGAGATGCCTTCGACACCCTCCGCTTCTTCGCTTGACCTGGGAGCAACTGGTGCGATGCCCTTTCACGTGGTGGAGGAATGGTGATGGCGGTGATGTTGCAAGCGTGGTTGGACAGCCTCCTGCCCACGCCGGTTGCCAAGTCGGCATTGCCCCACCGGAAGACTGATCACCTCCCTCAGCAGAACATCTGCAGGAAAAGCTGCATCAACAGCGCCCAGATACCATCAGCGTCCCCGATAGGCCATGCAGAGGCGTCTTAGAAAGCTGTCAGCCTGCTGTTGGTGAAGGTGGGCACAACGATAATGGGCTCGACATCGCCACTGCAGCTACTGTACTCCGCTCTTTCCGAGACTCTCACAGCAAGGGCTGCTTCAAACCTAGCACAGCAATTCCATAGTGCTGGGTTACCACTGACGTATAGAAGCTTACCAGAAAACACAAGGATTGAACTCTCTAAGCAGTCTAAACTGCAAAGGTTGCTACTCGATGGCTACATTGCGAAACAATGAGTTCACGGTGAGGCACCATTGTTCCTTGATCGGGATTTTACCCAGCGCACTCTCTTTCCATCTTTCGAGATAACTGGCTTAGCCTACATGTACTTTAGTACAGACGTGGAGGTTCTTTAGCACCTTTTGTATAATTCATCTTAACCAGCACATCCATGATGTCCTCATAGCTCAATCTTACTTCGTCCATCGATCATCCTTCTTAGCGTCTAGCTCATCGCATCGATCATGCATCTAAGTCAAGTTGCAGACCTTTTCGATCTTGAGCGTCATCTCGGGAATTTCATACGATACTCGCATGCGAATATCGCTGACTCAGGAAAGATTGAGGCCCCACAAAGCGAATTCTTAGGTAAGGATCGTAGTGGAAGGATTCCAACCTGCTTGCTGCCCGGAGTTGAGCGGACGCCTCATACGAACAGTCCATTGAGCGAGAAGTTTATCCATCGACCACACTAGCGAAAAGGAACACGTCTTGCAACACGCCACATTCGTGATCTACTGCCTCAAGAGTAAAGCAAAAGGCTCGGGATCCTCTAGGTGATGCGAAACTGTCGTCTGTTTGACAGGAAAGTTACGCTATCGACACCTGCCCTCGGTGCTGGTTTTCTCCGTTCGGCAATCCAGCTTGCCCAGGTGAGCTTAAGCTTATTGTTACGGATGGCGTGACCTCTGCATCTGCAACCATGCCTTCATTTTCGTCTATGTTGCGCATGCGTTCCAAGGCGATGGCGACTACATTTGCGATGACTCCTGCCCTCAAGTAACCTCAAATCCAAGTATTTGACCCTGCAGATCACCCTGTGCACTCCTCAGCCAGGAGTCATGATCTAAACGTTGACCGTTGATCCCGGCCGCTGCAGCTAAGGCCACTAAGGAGCTTCAAGCATTCAGTAACTGCATGAAACAATAGACCGCGTACAGAAGGGTCTGTTTTTTCAGGGTTTAGCTGGCGACTATTGCATGACTTAGCGGGTTCTTCATCTTGGCAGTCTACTCGTGAACACCAGTCCATCTGGGTCTAGTTGAAACTTTCAAGCGAAACTCGTCCCGAGCCGTCGACTCGCTCCTGAACTAGACATGGATAGTTTCTGTGGCTATGCGTTTACTAGTCATGGACTGAGTCGTGTGCCTCACCGGAAAGTGTTCTTATTTTGAGGCAAGAAATTGCATGTTACAAAGGGTCGGGGTTCTTGTCGAGAACCCTTTCTCAATATGACGGTTGACAGTAGTACAATATCGCCATTTGGCGGAGGTTTTATGGCGATCGGTTCAACGAAGTGGCAAGTCATCATGGTTGAACGGTACAGTGCGGTTGTCCCGTCTAGCGAAGCTCCAACCGACTATCGAGCCGACAACAATATCGCCAGGAAGGATCTCATCTTAGTCACTGGGGCCAGGGAGTACTCGTATCGCTAGGAGTACCGCTGACAAGCTTCCTCCATGGTGTCGCGGCTCTAGATGCCATGTGAAAGCGCCCTGCCGTCGACCAATATCGCGCATGCTCATCATATTCAGCAATCAGCTTCACTGCCCTCCAACGGGCCAACTTCCAATGTGAGGGCATTCGTTGGAAGGCCGATCCGCTTGGAACCGACAGCAACCGTGGTCAATCTTAACGGGGATTAACCGGCGCAGGTGGAGGGGTAAGGTGACGTTATGGCGGGCCTCGCTGATTACACTTCGATGCACCCAACGCGAAATCCTGTGCTCAGTCATCTGCATCTTGCAGCGACGCTCGTGATGGGGCGTTCTTGTTCCTGAGGTGGTGTACTCCGTGACAAGGTATTGGAAGGCAGACCTCTGGGAGCAACGATGGTCTAGATTGGCTCCGGAGCTCAAGTCCACATTAACTTCACGTGCCCGCATATAAACATCGACTTGAGCATCGCGATTGACTTCAACGCCAAAAAGAGTTGCGGCGTGGGAAATAATGTTTGCAATCTATCTATCAATACCCGTCAGTATGTTCCGCACCTCAAAACTAAGGTTGTGCGGCTCACAGCGCGCAAGCCTCAGCATCATCCATATCGATCGCGTCCGCGGAAAGCAAGATGGCGCAAGCTTAGCGTGCATGTCAAGGGACTTGAAGCTCCCTTTGACATAGACCAGATCCAGATCTCCGAGTCCGACAATCTGCGAGATGGCATGCGAGATTGACGAGCACCGTTGCTCGTGGAATGGGGAGGAAACATGTATCCAGAGTGAAGCCGCTGTACGACCCGTAAGAAAATCGCCCCTAGGAATTGTCTTCCGGGTGAATCAAGACGTGCGGCTGATACAAGGGTGTTTGTATGTGGGTAATTTTCAACTATTCTCGTAGACATAGCCGTAGCTGGCCACGAGCTGAAGCCGGAACCAAATACTGTAACTTTTGCGTACGACCTTACTCAAGAGCTACCGAGTTTGTTCTTCGGTGATGGAATGACCCTGCAGAAGACCACGAGAGTTGCCCTTTACGGGTCGTTTTGCACAACAGAAGGGCGCAGATGGGGTAACACAGCGGGTACGCTCGAGTCTGTGGAACCTCGCCTCTCTATCAAGG